AGCCAGTGCTCGATAACAAGCAGGTACACGATAATGACACAGTGTCGTCCTTCCCTGTTGAATTCTCGTTGAAGTTCTTTGAGGAAAGAGTCAAGACTCTCAGAGCACAAGATGCAGTTTTCGCTCCTTCTCGCTTACGAGCCCCCCGAGTCTGCCCGGGTCTATCATTGGCCATCGAAGGCACCCCACTTCCTGAATAGGAAAGAAGCAAGGCGTTTGTATGCATGCAGACAAAAGCAACTTGTCTGGTACTTGTCTGCGCAGCAAGGAGTATCACCACAGTACGATGTCGTAAGGTCGTACTGCTTGGTATTGCACTACAACTTCAGGGATGTACACTACACCCTGGTCGTCCAGCTTTCAACCCCAACCCCATTAACACAACTTCAAGCACCCCTCCCTGCCCACTGTTCTCCTGTTGGGGATGTGGTTGCTGGTCCGTTGTGACGTATCCACTGGAACACTTATACTATAGCTGGGGCACATGCACCTGCACCCACGACATGACATTTGAGACCTGGTCGAATTGTGCATGCCTGCCCTGCACGATAACCATGCTTGAGATAGAAGTAGCCACTTCCGAGCTGCTGCTTCCCTGGACAATCCCACTAGCATTTAGCGCAATCCTCCCTCACTTGCCCATGTATACATCGTACTACTTGTCTTGCCCTGGCCTTGCAGGAGGGGTCTCCGATTTACTTGTATTATTGTCCCCCCATATTTAGATCCCCCGATGAGAAGAGCGTTGAATCCATACCTTCCTTTTAAACAAAGCTTCCCCGGCCTGCTTGTCTTTCCCCTTCCCCTCCCCTCCCTTCTATCCTCATTGTCGTTGAGATTTGGACGTTTTAAGCTGTGGTAAAACTTGAGTGCTCTTGTCCTTGGTTGAGTCTAGAGCATATCAGCTTGGACCTTGCTTGGAAGCACTTCTCTGCGTTCGACCACCATCAATCCAACACAATACGTCAATCTCCCACCTACGGAACAAGACGACACACCCCGGAACTTCTCAAAGCAAAGACTGGACGTTTAGCGGAAGAACGGTATACCCTCCGGCGCAGCTTCCTATTCCACTCGGTGGGCTCGAACGGCACCTTCCCTCCCCAATCTACAACGGCTCCATGCTCCTTCTACACTAAACTCCGCCGCTTCGTCGGGAAGGCACATCTCGACTCTTTTACGTCGCGCAACACTTCGACTCATCCAACAGCACGTCTCTCGATCACCACTCCATTGGCCAGTCCGATTGACCAATCTATCTTTGAATGGATGGTTGTACAAGTAATGCAGGAATGATATTCACCGCCGCGCTCACCTCGTAGCCCCTGCAGAACCTTCGATCCTCCCTTCCTTTCGTGTCACCAACAGCAATATTCTAGCCCAAGACTTCGCATTCAAAGGCGGCTTGTTGCGTTCGCATTGTGGACACCGCATCAGAACCAAGATTATCGCCAATTCTATCATCGCCTTTTCTTCTAAAACACGCAGCTTGTCAGGAGACGGGAAGAAGGCGGATATAAGCGTCTTGGTGACGGGCCCTTCAAATCTCCGTAGTACTACACTCCTTGCACAACCCGTACAAGTTTCTTCGATATTCGGTCAGCCTTCGGCAACCCTCCAGTCACAATGACCACATCACAGCGGGGTCATCGGTTGGAGAGGCTCTTCTCCAAAAGAAGATCTGCCAACTCCACAAAGACTTGCGACAAGGGAGAATCCTCAGGACCCGTCTTTCCACAGGCTTCGTTTATTCGACCGACCTCCTCCCGCATGATGGCCCGGGAGGAGGGCGCCTCCCGGACACCGTCGCCTCGGTCGCAAACCTACAAACACCACCGCTCTTCTCTGCCACTCTCGATAGGCTCTTCCAACACGAGCAGCTTCCAAGAGGAACCTACCCTGGGCCAATCCGCAGCCATCGCCTCAAACCTACCTGACTTGAAGGTGCTTCGTCACGTCAACCAAGCGACTCATTTTGGAGAGACGCCTGCTGCCCATTCCTCAACACCTGCTTCAGCTAGAGTTTCAGGGACCTTCATCTCAGCCAAGCCGGCGGTCAGACCTGGCAGCTCCCCACCACTAGCAGTCTTAAGGCTGGACACCCCACCCGCCTCAGATGCTGAAGATTCATTCTCCCGTGCCCTTGAGAAATTCAAGTTTTCCAATCACACCCGGAGCCACAATTCTCTCCCTCACAACATCCCTACGCCGGGCCAATCGCCCGAGATGTCCCCAATCCTAGATTTGAACATGAAGGACCAGCCGACCAGAATCAAAGGTTTGGGTGGGGCAAGAACCTCTACAGATTCCTTCGAGTACACGACCAAGGATCTCTTGGACCACCGTCCAAAAACATTGGCTCCAAACCTTCACAAGAAGAAAGGCTCCAGCACACTGGCTGTTTATAAGCCTGTCCTTAAAGAACCTACTTTCCACGATTTTATGGACCTCAGCGACGATGATATCGCTGAGGAGCATCCTGATGGCACACCAGGTACAGCCGCCAACATGAAGGCGCTGCCTCCCTCCCCACCTTCCACAGCCTCCTCCTCGCTTCTGTCGGCATCGAGGTCGCGTGCGGCGTCGCTGTTAACCCTCCCACCTCCCTACACAAGCCGGCCAGCCACAGCCGCAGCCTTCGAGGCAGCTCGTATAGCTTCGCGATACAACTTTGACCTTGTCTACGTTGTCAATCTTTGGCCTGACTGGAACCTCCGCCAAGATCCGGGATCAATAACACCAACTCTCCCCTCATCTCGGGCGCAGATAAGCGGGGGTAATAACATGACGGGTCGACTTCTGGCTGCGTACGGTTTGTCGGCCGTCAAGTCTCCCTTCCGCATCTCCGCCGCCGTCCATACGAAGATTCTCCAGACGGACGGATGGATCGAGTATCGGAACGAGGAGGCCCAGAAGAACGAGTTCGCCCGTGGGTATGCTTGCGCGTTCTATAAGGGGGAGTACGGGCGTCGCCGCGGATCGGCCGACTCGTCTTCTACGACGGCTACGGGCATGTCGTCAAACGGGAACATTGATCGTGGCATTGTGTTCGCCGCCTACCGGAAGCCTAGCCCCGGCGGCGATGATTCTGCCGTTAGTTGTAGCAAGTCTGAACTCGCCGTCATCTATAAAGATGCCGAAGCATTGGTGGAGATGTTGATTGATATCCACATGACGAACCGTTTACGGCACTCGACGGCTCACGGTCTACATGTACACTCGGACGAGACGGGACCGATGCCCATCCACCGACCCACAGAGATCACTCTAGGGTAAACGACGTTGCACACTTCTATTTTCTTTTTCTTTTTCATGACATGTTCGTATTCACACTCGATAATATCGACAGGCACTTTTTCCCTTTTATTTTAGCGAGGCGTTGGGAGTCGGAACCAAGGCAGGTATCGGGTTTAAAACAGTTGGGGGAAATCGATGGGTACGCTATGACAGGACTGGGTGGAGATTTCAACGAGAGAGGGGGTGCTTGATGGCTCGGTACGCTTGAAATGCCCACTCAACAACGTATGCATCGAAGGATGCTACGTACGCTGCATGTTAATTTACATGGGTAGAGGATTAAAAAAAGACTACTAGATACCCCAGGTCGCTTCTCTTCGCATTACCTTTGATATGAACTGTGACGAAAGGATGACACTCTCTTATTTACCGGATTAAGAGCGGCAAGAACCGAAAACCCGGGTCGTCCACGACTTTCCAGAAAGTCTTTGACCGGATCCTAGCCGTCGGCCGTGACCGTAACCGGGCTCTGAAAGGTTCCATGATTATGCCGAGAACTCATCTGCCTGAGATGCACCCAGACAGATGTTTTGTCAGGAAACGGACTCGTGCTCCCCCGCAAATGGCTAGTCGGGGGATTGCATTATATGGTCTGCAATTATAGACAGGGAGGCAGGGACTTGAGAGGTGCCACCTCAAGGGTCCCATCCGTGAGCGGTCAGGATGCCGGTGCTTGGACGGTATGGTCCGGATGCGGGGGACGTTTATGCGCTACCCTTGCTAAGCGATGACCTACCTTGTAAGAGGGGATGTTGAAGGTTGGGGGCCAGATTTTGGTGGGTTGAGGCTAGCATTGGTAATTGGGTTGGACTGAGGTTTCCAAGTTCGAAGAAGCTAGCTTGAGTTACATTGTTTGTGCTAAGAGGAAGTACTGCGAGTCTATGGATTAGATGGATTAGGGCCGGAGAGGAAAGCCGTTTTCTGCCAGGCGCTTGACTTCAGTCCACTGATGGCTCTACTGAGGTCATCATGCTTCTGTCATGACCCACACCACCCGCCCAGTATTTATGTGGTCCCGTTGCCCAAAAGAACACAACTGCCCGCTCCTCTTTCATAGTCTGTCTGAGGATGGGTTGTGAAGCAAGCAAGAAAGGCACTAGTGGTTTAGTGGTAAAATTGGTCGTTGCCATCTTTCGATGCAGCTCTCGACTAGCCCCCGGTTCGATTCCGGGCTAGTGCATCTCCTAGGAAGATATTCATCTTCAAAATTTCCCTTTTTGCCTGCCCCCTTCGTACTCGCCGCAGAGCGCGGTTTATTTAATTTTCTTTTTTTTCTTCTTCTTACTCTTTTTTATTGAGAGTGCGCTTTGCAGTCACTCATATGCCTGACTTGTGTCGAGTGGGAGAGGACATATGAGGCAGTGGGATGGTGGGATGGTGGGACGGTCGGATAGGGTGCAAGCAAGGAGGTGATGGTGATTGAACGAGCCTGTTTCTCTTCTTGAGCTTCTATTTTCTTCAGCTCGAGAAATATTTGATCAGTGTATCTGTTTGCACCACTGCCGCGTCTAGTCGTCTGAGGTTCAAAATACCTCAAGTTTCCTATACTCTCTAAGAATGCAACGCCAATACTAACCCAGACAGACCAAACCCAGACTACGGAAAACACAAAATGAATATGAACGAAAGGGAAACAAGAACACCAAACCATCAATGTGTTTTTTTCTTTTCTTCTTCCAGCTCCAAAAACTCCGCGAAGAAACTCAAATGAGTCCATACACCCTCCTGGCAGCATAATAGCACGCAAACCCGAAACAAAAGAGTCCGATGGTGATGCAAACGAACCAGGTAAGGTCGCCTTCGTACTCTTGACCTGGAACCCAGACATTCATGCCCCAGAGGCCGGTGATGATGTTCATGGGGAGGACAATGGTACCGAGGACGGTGAGCTTGTTGAGGCTATCGGCCGTTTGTTCGGAACGCTCCGTCATCTTGCAGTTGATTTGAGCGAGGTAGTTGCCATGGGCTCGGGCGAGGATCCTAGAGGGTGTGGGTGTTAACTTGACTGCCTGAGTCCGTGGCGTGGAGAGGTAGTAATTCGTCAAATCAGCTAGTCTTCAGAACTTACATTTCGTAGTGACTAAGATTAGAGGTCATAGTCAAGATATGATCCTGAATATCGCCAAGGTAGAGACCGATATCCGAGTGAGGAGTTACCTCCCACTGCTCATTGCACCGCTTCGCGAAACCTTTGATGACGTCTGCCTTGTTGCCCAGCAGACGATACAGACTCATCACCCGCTTCCTGCAATCACCCGCCCGACGGAGAACGTCTACCGTACTCAACTCGACCGTAGTAGTGCCGTCATCACTTCCGGCAGCCTTCTCCTCCTCCTTCTCCGCCTTCTTCGTCGCGCTCCCCCACGAATTCATGATACTTTCGTCGATATCGTCAACTTCCTCTTCGATATTCTGGATGATGGGACCAAACACGTCGGTAATGTCGTCGATGATGGCGTACGAGATCCAATCCGAGGAAACGATCAAGTAGTCCTTGAGCTGCCGGATCCTGCGACGGACGTTGGCGGCGTGGGGCGTAGGCGAGAAATGGAAGCTGAGGATACCCTCCCGGAAGACGACGGTGTACATGTTGACGGGCTCCATGTACGTGCTACTATGGATGTCCTGATCGAAAGTTCGGTAGTTGACGAAGTAGTAATTGCGGAATAACTCAACCTTCTCCCGCGCTTCTTGCATCATGATATCCTCTGCTGTGAGGGGGTGGATACCGAAAGCTTGGGATATCACCTTCATCTCAGACTCGGTTGGGCTAAGCACGTCAAGCCACCAGATAGGTCGTTCGCCGTACCTGATGGCCTTCGTTTCCGGTTCCGGTCCTACCTCTTTGGCCTCCCGTTTCGAGTTAGAAGTTGGCGTTCCAGGCCTCGGCCTTTGCGGCGACCCTTGGGACGTCCGGGGAGGTGCGCTGGCAGCCGAGTTCTTCCCAACAGAGGAGGTGCGGTCAAGTGAGGTCGCGAAGACATCGCTATTCCCCTGAGTCGTCAATGCAGAGAGCTTCCGGGAAACTGGAGGCACTGAACCGCCGTCTCCGGGGTGGCTGGAGCGGCGAACTCTTGACGCGAATGGGTTCACCATTTCGATCGAGTCGCCGTCTTCCTCGTCTAACTCGTCGTCCGAGAGCACGCGAGGATCCGGAATAAATAGTTCGCGGAAGCTGCCGCCAGCCTGGATCAAGCCAGAAATAGTCTGGCTATGTATTGTGCTCTGGACCTCCTCATTAAAGTAGGTGAACCGATAAGGTGCCTCATCCTCGGAAAGATACCATCCCTTTTGCACGGCGCGCAACCTGCCATTAATAAGCTGCGGCTCAGTGATCTTCTTAACGCGGGACGTTTCTTGCTCCTTCTCGTACTGGCTCCATGACTCAAGGACTGACAGATCGGGCCACGGACTCCGGCGGCGGCGGCGACGGGGCTGGAATCGCGGCGGGGAGCCGCTTCGAGGGGAGTACTGGTACTCTTCGCCTTCTTCCTCAGCCACCTCGGACAAGTCAACAACAGCCGGGAAGCAGACGTCATCCTCGGGGGGCATTAGACCCGTGTTCCTCCGAGACTTGCTAGACAACGACATCGGCTGGCCACCCTCTTCGTCCTCTGGCAGTTCTTCTTCTAAACTTAGCGATCCAGTAGGAGACTCTGCCTCTCGAGCTAGCTCGTCCCGTATCATAGCATCGCCAAAACTCATGTCGAGGCCGGGGGCGGGTCCGAGTGTGGGTGTACCCGGGACGGAGGGGGGATAGTTGACATTAAAGCCAGAGGGTTTCGTCCTCGACTTCGAGGACGCATTGGAATCGCGTCGTCTATGCTGTTCGCGGTCGAAGGCAGGAGCGCCGACGGCGGATTCATGCCGCCTAAGACGGTCGGTGGTTGACATGAGAGGTGTCCGCTCGTCCCAGCGCTCTGCTTCTCTCTCGTTGCCGGTTTCGGCTGACACGCTCAACCTCCGACGGCTATTCCGACGAACGAAGGAAGTAGGTGTTGCTTGTATATTCGTTACGGGTAGTGTACGGGTTCGTGCAGGTTGTCGATGTTCTCTGGGGCGGGCAAGCAAAAAAAAAGTGTGGTTAGCTTCAGATTTCTAGGGTTCGGGGAGGGGAGGTTAGAGGAAGCTGCCTCACCTATGATTTAACAAATGTGCCTCCTCAATGCTTGAATCGCTAAGGCTTCTTCTGAGAGCATACAAGCTATCGCGCGCCGCATCGAGGGCGCCCGCGTGCTCATCATCCAGTGGTGAATCCCCGGGGAGTGGGGCAAAAGACTTTCTCCTGGAGCGCTTCTTCTTCCCCCCACGATGGGACTTCCTGGGCTTCGAGTTTCCTTTCGAGGAAGAGGCCGGTTCTCGTATGGATGATGCTGAGCTGGGAGCTTCGGGGGCTTGTCTAGAAGGTGAGCCTGTTGACGAGAGGGGAGCGAAGGGGTTGTTGGTCGGCATAGTGGTCGATAGGGGAAGGGGGGAGGGACCAAGAGGCAAAGAATTTAACCAGGTCCAGAGGCCGACACGAGGAGTCAACTTGTCAACTTGGCTTTCTGTAGCATATGAACGGAGCGAATATTTCGTCTGGCGTGGGCCTCGAGCAAAGATTTAAAAGAGTTAGTGGAGTGATAGTCGAGACGAGCTTCGGTTAGGCATTAGTTCGTCTCAGACGGAGGGAGCTAGCGTCGAAGATTTCGACTTCGTCACTAATGATGGAAGATGGAAATAAACACGCCGCTGGACACCAAAGGCAAAGAAGAGCCAAATGAGGGTTCCAAGGCCCAGCTAGGTTTTTTTGGAAAGTCAATCTTTGTGGCGTGGGAAAGTTTTAAACTAGAAAGACTTGAAGGGGATCAATATCTACAAAGTACATTCGATGTTGGGAGACGTGTGCGCACTCGGAGGCTGAGAGCGCTGAGAGCGCTGAGAGGCAGCTGATGAGGAACGTGGGCTTGTCTGGGCAGGTTTACGCTTGTGACTGTGACGCAGCACGCTACTGGCCGAGTTTGGCTAGCAGCTGCGGATTGCTGCGGATTACAGTTGCTGGCAAGCAGCGATGAAGTCACACAGTGCAGGGGGAGCTCCAATGTGAGTTGCAGTTTCTGGCAATCGACAGACGATCTGCACAAATCTGCGTGGGGTGACCGAACGCTGCGGCTTGACACGGATTGACACTGTACGAAGAACGAAGAATCGGGGTCTGACAGGTGAATCCCACGGGGAATTGAAAGTGTATGATTACGTGATCAAGTACGACAGGGCAATGGCACTTGGACCCATATTATTGCGGAATTGTCTTATCCTCGACATCTTCATATTCCTCGATTCACAAAGTTTGTGTATTAGTTCTTGGGATTTGGTTTATATGCAAAGCATTTTTAGTCACAGCAGCCGCGAAGGACATTGTAATCCCTGGGCCTCTCTCAGTACCTCATTGTTCTCACGGAAAGACCATCTTCGACTTCCACTCATCCGCTTCAACCAACGCGTCTCATTTCCCTGACATGGTCCATCTTTCTTTTGCATTTTCCATGTGCTTTCATTCAAACTAGACCCGACTTTTCTTTTCAGCACTGCTAGACCAGTTCTCTGGCAGCTGTTGGGCTGGTCGGCCGCCTGGTCATAATCGAGTTCGGCCCCGGCTCGTCGAAATACCCCAAACGGATCGTGTAAATGTAAAAGCTAAAGAGCATTCTTCATCATGGCTTTTCTCATGGGGCAGGATGCTGGGTTATATATTGAGTCCCCGCATCCTGTCGCGCCCACTCTCCTCTGCTCTGGCCATCACTCCTAACTTCTTATTCCATCACTTGTAAATGCTTATTCGCCTCGATCACCCTTGAGAGATGCATCTCGACGATATCACCGCGGTGCGGCTTACAGAGCTTATGCAGCTTTGCTTCTCCGACCAGCTCGCTGGGTCCCCTGAGAACGAAGCAGATGAAAGAACCTGCTCCAAAATAAAGAAGTTAACCTTGCTGGACCTTCCTCTGGAGATGGTACGCAAGATCGCTGGCCATCTCGATTGTGGCTCCCGTGCCGCATTCGCTCTAGCCAGCAAACCTCTGCTATACACTCTCGGCAAGAAAGTCATCCAACTTGATCGCCGATCCCGACTCCCATTACTTCAGATACTCGAAAAAGACAAGATATACCCCGCCATGTTTCTTTGTTCGTACTGCAGGTCCTTTCATCGTCCTCGCCTCCCTGAATTCATGTTAGAGTGGGGCTACATAGGCTACCTACCTCCGGGGCGACTCTTTATCAACGAAGACTTCTTGTTAAGGCTTTGTGAGAAGACCAACAAGTGGACCTGGAATCTCATCACATATGGGATGCTAGCCTCTATCATGAGATCCCACCGGCATGGGAACCTGATCTACCCAGCCTCAGCTCTCGACGCCGAGAAATTCCGAGGGCGCAGGGATAAAAGGGGACCCTGGCTAAGCATCGACGCGAACTTTAAGATAGCCATTGGCCATTTGATACTCATGACGGAAGTCGTTCTGTCCCCGGCTGTACCACGAGAGTCAGCTATGGACGTGGTGTATGCTTTGCTAGGGCTCTCACATGATGACTTGGAGGTTGTCAATGTCTGCGCACATATCAGGTGGCGAGACATTTTTCCCTTCCTCCTCCCTGCTGACCCCGAAAACGTCCCTTCGCAGATGCAGAGTTTGACGTGTTTCTGGACACACCCAGTCGTCTGCGACAAGGAAGAATGCGGAAAGTTAGGGAGCATCTTGAAGGCCCGACGAAGCTGCAATACCTGCTACACGGAATTCAAGGCGGAAAGATGCGACTTGGAAGGCTCGAGGCACCGGGCGTTGAAACTCACCTCGTGGAAAGACCTTGGTGCCGGGACGACTCACCACAGTCATCAGTGGACTTCCCACTTCCACCGTCCTTCCCGCATGCGACAACCCCGCCTAGCTCTTTATGGTATCCAAAGCCTTTTTGAGTCTAACGGTTGAGAACCGCTTGTTATTTCGATTTCTGGGTCGACTTCAGTCATTCACACTGGGCAGCACATTTGGGAGCGAACGTTTGTTTAAAGGCATGCTTGGCGAATTGGCGTTTTGGAGGCTTGTATTAACGTGGTGTACTTCCAGAAACATGTATCAGAGATCAATTATCTTCAATCAAAAGAGGCTTTGGGACTCGGGGATAATCGAGGATAGTTCGTGTTGACGTATAATTTACGAACACCTCATGGAAACCTATACTTGCATTGTGTGATTATTAGTGGCACGAAAAACGCACGTTTTGTCAAAGATAGCCTCCTCTAAGTCTATTTGCGTCATTGACTCAATTACACGTCACGAATTCTTTCGGGCCTACAATATCCTGGGTATCTATTTCATGTAGATTTAGACTATTGTGACGAAGTGGCCCTAGCACACCACCGTCTTCAAGCAGCTGGACTCTCAAGAAAAGTTCCAAAGCTTGACGAGCAGGCTATCAGCAACCCCCGACCCTTCGTCCTGAGACAAGAATATCCTCTTAGGTATCTGAAATTCCACTACAGGCGCCTTTTTGACGTCTTTTGACATTTCTGAATCGAGAAGCTGAGATCACACCGTGTTAGATTATTTTCGAAATAAAAGAAAAAGAACGCAAAAGAAGGAAAGGTCTGTCTGAGTGGGCAAGCTTACACTTCCGTATGAGTGATCCAAAAAGTCCTCGATATTGTAAGACTGCTTCGTAAACTGCTCCGAAATAATCTTCGCTATCGTCGCTACATTCGGGTGATAGTGCGCCTGCAGCTGCACGAGTTCCCACACGCAACTCTCAATGGCTTTGGTCTCCATCGGGTCCGTTTCATCCGGTAGGAATGGATCTTTGAAGCCTTCGCTCTCTATGCTTTCTTTCAACTCCGGATCCCTTATTTCCCTGTGCATCATGAAGGTGCAGGCCGGATGGCGCTTGAAGAGGTTGTAGATCCAGGGCACGACGAAAACGACGGCGCTCGGCGGCGCGTACAGCGCCAGCCTCGATAACCTCTTGATGAAGCTTGCCACTAGGGCCGCGGGGAGATGGCTCGAGGCGAGGAAGGTGTCGAGGAGGCGGAAGAATCGAGATCGGTGCTTGGAATGGAGGATGTCCTTGTCCAGGAGGGAGTAAAGCTTAGGATAGAAGGAGGGGTAGTCGAGGTTTCGGTTCTCGATGAGATAGAAAACACCGGATAGTGCAAGGAGTGAGAGCGATCCACCAGCATTGTAGCAGTCTGTCAGGAAGTCGGAGAGGAGCTCCGGCTTGGCGAACCATGGTGCAATTACCGACACCAGCGAGCCCAGGATTCTCTTTTGCTGCTCCCGGCTTATGCTCAGTGCCATAAGCGCGAGCCAGGCGTCTTGTGCTTGCTTCTTGTGTTGTGCGAGGGAGTACAGATTATGGGCCTTCTTCTTGGGAGCAGGCATGTAAAAGTCCTCAAGCTCGCCGTTGGAGTCCGGGACGCCATCAATGGCAACAAGAAGATCGAAGACAAGGTCAAACCACTCAGAGTCCGGTATCTCATCAGACCGGCTTGAGAGTATGTTCCTGAGATAGGGTTAGACATCAAGGAAGCTTGATCGTGAGAACGGCACGGCGCAGGATTCAACTCACTTTATAGCTTGGTGTGTGAAGAAACGGACATCGTCATATTCGTCCACATACTTTTCCACATATTCATCGCGTCCTTCAGAACTCTTTGACCTGACAAGACCTAAAATGATCTGCTCTAGGAACTCCTTCGGGAAGACATAAAATTCCTTTTTGAAATTCAGTTGTTCTCCCTCAGCCTTCAACAACTTCATCGCCAAAGTCAGCGCCGTCGAGGCCAGGTCCTCCTGAGAGACCAACAATACAAGGACATCCTTGTACTCCGATAGGCGATCCTTTAGCCACTGGACCACCACGACTTCCTTATCAGACGCATTCCTCTGGTGCGTAAGACTTCCCGCTGCCAACAATCTGATGAATATTCGACATAACGCAACTGCCGCGAAAACTGTCGATTCCGTTTCTTCCTCGTAGTCTTTTACAAGGCCAATGAGTTTCACGATGTCGTTGTAATTCTTCTTGGATTCCACGATTCCGGCTTCCATTAAGAGAATTTGAGACTGGACATCTTCCTCATCGCTGCTCTCATCCGTTCGGGCTCGCTTTTTCACATCATTCTTGGCGTCTTTTCGCTTGCGCTTCAGGCCATCGTCCTTCACTGTGGCCCCAGGCATCTTATCTAAGTTTTGGGCAAGTAACAAAAATGAAAGAAGATGAGAATAATTCCAGATATTTCGCCTTGAAGTTGGATCCTCGAAGCAGCACCAACACTGAATAAAAGTATTGAAAAAATAAAGTGGGTCCCGGAAGCTAATGTAAGCCACTAACCCGGAACCGGAACCAATTCATCACGTGACTTTTGGTATTGCCGAAGAAGCGCGATAAAACCTCACATCGTCAATCACTCCCATGTTCCACGTCAAACCAGCTAAACACTTCAATCCCGACATCTCCCCTCATCCACAATGGCGTCTCGCTTGGCTCGAAGCGCCGTCGGTAAGTGCAATTATGCGTTTTCTAGATGGAGATGATCAATTGAGTCGCTCCAGCCCCTTCCACGGCCGGAAGAACCCTCCGCTCTGACTTGAAAACCTGAAAAGGCGCCAACCTTCTCCGGCCGACCGTCGCCCGACGAACCGTGCCTGCTCTCACCGCGCTCACGACCGCCCGCCACTCGTCCAGCGTCCCGACCGAGGACCCCAAGAAGAAGGCCCAGTCCATCGTCGATGCGCTCCCCGGCAGCAGCCTCCTCTCCAAGACCGCCATCCTCTCCAGCGCTGCCGGTCTCTCCGTTTACGCCATCAGCAATGAGTACTACGTGATGAACGAGGAGACCGTCGTGGCCTTCTGCCTTCTCGCCGTCTGGGGTGGTCTCATCAAGTACGTCGGTCCTCTGTACTCGCAGTGGGCCAACGGCCAGAACGACAAGATCAAGAACATCCTCAACCAGGCTAGGGCCGACCATACCGCCGCCGTCCAGAGCCGCATTGAGGATGTGAAGCAGATGGAGGGTGTTGTCGACATCACCAAGACCCTCTTCGAGATTTCGAAGGTACGGTGGTTCAAGATTTCGACGGAGAAAAATTTTTAACAGCGAGCTTTCGCATTGTGGGTTGAACCGGAGTTGCTCATATATTCTTTTAATAGGAAACCGCCAAGCTCGAGGCCGAGGCTTTCGAGCTCGAGCAGAAGACTGCCCTTGCCGCCGAGGCCAAGGCTGTCCTCGACTCCTGGGTCCGATACGAGGGCCAGGTTAAGCAGCGACAACAGAAGGAGCTTGCCGAGAGCATCATCGCCAATGTGGAAAGGGATCTCAAGAACCCCAAGGTCCTTCAGCAGATCCTCCAGCAGAGCGTTGCGGATGTTGAGAGTGAGTTATCTTTGCCGTTCCAACTCGAAAACGCCCGACGCCGGAAACTAACTCGATCGATTTCAGGAATTGTTTCCTCCAAGGCCCAATAGACGAAAAGAGTTTAAAGTTCACATCATCAGGGGAACGCCAACCCGTAGAAACATCTCTTTTGTCCACTGTTCATAAACACTTGTGCTATAGTCAATCCAATTATTCTCAACTATTCTTGTAATACGATGCATATTCTCTCCCAGAGCCATACCTCCACATTCGCACTTCTTAATTTGCTTCTGGAATGTTCCCGATGAGAAAGTTACCCGGCTGAGATTATGTTCTGAACCTGAAGCCGAACTCTCCATCACTGGGAAACCTATCTTTTATTTATTTTTGCCTTCCTGCGACGCTCGAATCTTTCCGGAGAAGAAGCAAGGCCGTCAATCATCCAGAACCTCTGGCCACCTCAAGAAGGGGTCCCCGCTTTTCGTTCAAAAGACATGCGGATCCTACGACTTCGCAGCAAGTTGCATACGTCGAGTTTCAATCGTACCTAATCAATTGTATTCATACTATCTAGATACCTCAGGGGGACCCGTGCCTGCCGGCTTCGCGGGCGGAGTCTTTGGTTCAACAGTGAAAATAACTTGATCAACCACCACCCTGTAGACCGAGGTAATTGACGAGTCATCAGCTCGTCGGCGGACCGCCCAATCTGTAAGCTCGGGGCATCACTAATTAATTTCAGGAGAGAAACAGTACTGATATAGCAAGGCCCTCATCTTGCCGTGGTCCTTTTCGTTAATTTGTATTTGAACTGACAACCTGCCTCCAAACGCCCATTCATACCCAGGAGCTCGTACAAATATCAACAAGAAAACGACAGTAAAAAAAAGTCGACTATAAAATTGTACAAATGAAAACAATAAACATCTGGTCCGACCCTACCAAAAGTAAGAGTCCCAGGCATCAATAAATAGGCCTAGACTCCTCCCATTTGGTATGCGACCGATCCGACGCATCAGGAGTCTCGTCGCCCTTCACATCAGGACCCCACGAAACACGACCACTCTTGCGACGCCTAGCGCCGTCACCAGACATGGGCCCAATCCACTCCCACGCGCGACCAAATTCGCCATTGCGACCTTCGCGCTGGCCGGTTCGGACGTTGCTGTTCTGCTCAACAACGGCGCGGACTCGTTTCCATAGGCGTTCTCTCGCGGACAATGAGTGCACCGATCGAAGGACATCATCTCTCAGATTGGGAAGGAAAAGCCATGGGTCATCCAGCTCCTCCTCACCAAGCTCTTTCTGCTTGGATAACCGGTCAAGGACCAGGTCTACGAGAGCGGGGACCTTAGCTGCTGCTGCTCTTTCCGACAGGTAGCGTGCCCTTGCGTAAACGAAAAGGAGTAACGCGGCAACTACAGATCCAATTGTGAGGCGATGTCGCTCCAAGCCGTTGACGACGGAGCGTTTGATCGCACACGTGAGGGGAAGGCGAGCGAGAGAGCTGGAAGAGAGGTACGTGTTTGGAATACCTCCGGGACCGGTTTTTCTACAGGAGGTAGAGAGGATCTGGTTAGTTTGTTGTCAGAACGGTCAAATCAAAAAGAAAGAAATGGTTGCCGTCGGGATTTGTTTCAAGGTGTAGGAGAATCTATCCTGGCGTGAAGACAAAGGGCAAGTATAACTGACTCGCCCTCTGGGAAACGAAAAGAAAACAAGATGGGGTTAACTTACTGTTGTACCTCCACTTCCTCTCTGCTCTGGACTTCACCCAGAGCCGCCACCCACAAATCGTCAAAATCTTGCTTGTTGAGGCGCTTGTTCCTCTTTCGGCTGACAGTTTCCTTGAGTTCCTCAACCTCGACAGCCGGTGTCTCAAGTCGTTCACCCGTCTCGGTAATAGTCTCGCCACATTCGAACTGGGCGCGACGCTCTCGTAGCTCCTCGACTGCCTTATCAGCTACAGCCTTTACTCGACGGACCTTCTCTCCATCGGGTTCGCAGGTGGGAGGAAGTGGAACCAAGCCACCGAAAGAGAGGGGATGAGGCTTGAGGATGAAGTCTGGCTCACAGCGAGCCTCAAAGTTTGCGTAGCAATAGGCATGCTGGGGGCAAAGTTCACACTGAGGCTCGACAAACGGAACGGCCCAGTCGGGAACTGGGATCTCTGGCGGTATTATTTGAGTTGCTGGTCTGCCTAAGCCACAGTATCCAACGGCAATCTTTTCGTGTCGGTACCAAGCCGCATAGGCCACGAGGACTGTTGTCAAGAGTACCCAAAGAGAAGTTGCGAGGGTAGACTTTCTCGCAGGCTGCTTCCTTTGCCTTGGAGCAAGGTTAGTCTTGCCATGAGAAGCCCATTCTTGCTGGAGCTCTAGCTGCGCTTCAGGGGTAAATTCTTCGCCAGGTTCAAACTCGGGTGGTTCGGAAGTTATTCGACGCGAAGGTCTCGGCGTCGCTCTGTCATACGACATATAATCACGAGTGTCCTCTTCGCTAGTGTAATGCGTCATAGAAGTTCGTCGTCTCGATGATTTTGGAGTTTTGGGTTGTCGTTCCACACTCGAGGTCTTCCTGCGACCAATTGGCGGCTTTGACGTCGCCGGCGAACTACCGCTCTGGAATGGGTTATCACTCGTAAAGACACTGTCCTCAGTCGAGAGGCGATCGGTTGAAAGGCGCCCGAAGCGATGATCCTCAGGCTCCTCGGACTTTATCCGAGGTGTCGCGGTTCTCCGGGTGCGGCGGATGGTGTCAGGGGCATTGTCCGTATCGGAGGCCTGAGCTAGTTGTCTGCTTGCGGATCGAGAAGACCTCGAGTACGCGGGCAAGGTCGGTTCATCAGAGTCCTCGGTCTTAACGCGGGCTGCTGGTTTTCTAGGAGATCGGGACCTCCTGGCCGACTTTGGAGGCTCGAGGTTGAACTCATCTTCCATCCCAGCATTCACGATTCCGGTGCTGGAGCGTTTCGCCCTCGCAGCGCGGGCAAGAATCTTCTTTCGCTGCGGCACAATGTTCTCGTTGAAGAGCTCAACAAGCATCGGCTTCTTGGCGGTTGATGGGTACTGGACATTGTGCTTCACCAGTATAGATCGCAGACGAGGTACCGTCAAACTCTCAGGCTGGAAGTCATCTTGGAGGTACTCTTGCCCCTCGTTATCAGACATCTTCGGATGTTGATCGATGTGCTCTGCCGAAGCACGGGTCGAGACACGGGCTTGAATGATGTGGAATGATAGAAAAATTCGAACCCAAAGTTTCCAAAATTGCCCTGCTGATAATATAGGCCGGCAAGTTGCAGGCCTCCCGCAGCTTATAAATAGGTCTTGGGGTCGCGACCGATGGAAGGTTGCCTAGGATTGGATGGCTGGGGAGAAAGGGAGAATTGACGAGGTCTGACGCAAGTGGGATGTTGTCCACTGAAGCCTATGTTTATCATCTAAGCAGAAAAGCACCACTCAAAGTTGCTCTTTTCTTGTCGGGGCAACGCGGTGGAACTAGTGACTTCCAAGTCCCAAGTTCTCGGTCTTGGCACGTGCGCGTTTCTGACTAATACAAGCAAGGGACGACTTCGATGTGGCAAAGAAGCGAAAGTATGGCTGGGTCGCTTCCCATGCCAGCAACAACACTTGATGTGAATATATATTGGGTGTCTTCATAGCTCGTCTACGGATGTGTACACTATTCTTGATCTGCCGGTACTCTCCCTGGTAATTTTCCTCGAGGCGGTTATTTGGGTTAGATTTGCATCTGAATGGTGGGCCGCGTTCGATGATTTGATACTAGGTACCTGGACTCTCTCAGTCGAGGCCTCATACACTCTTGAAGAGGTTGTGATTTTGGCCTGCTACCTAGCTCCTCATGGACGAGCCGGATCAATAATATCTCGTCTCCCAGATATCGTTAGGTCCACGTCCTAAGAATAGCTAGTAAACTAGTCGCGGCCGCAATGGCGTTCTTGGGTATTCTCGGGCACTTATAGATGTTTGAGCTTAAATTGCTGATTCAGCAGATTTTCAACAGCAGTGATCACCGTATCGAACCACACCTGAACTTCAACATTGTCCTCGAGAGGCGGGTCAATTGAGCCGCCCATAACCTATCTGAGGAGCGAAGCTTCTCCTGAGAAAATGTCGAGCCGAATCCTTCTTCCCAGCACTCGGTTTGTTTGCCGGCGCTGTACAGGCCACCTCCGGACCAAGCTCCCTCGATTCTACAGCACCAGCGCCGAACCTGATATCTACGATGTCGTGTGTGTTGGAGGTGGGCCTGCTGGACTTAGTCTCTTGGCTTCTCTCCGTACGCTTTACCCTTCGCCATATGATCTTATTTAGTGTCTGAATCTAACACGTTGTTCCGTCCATTAGGCGCCAATCCCGTAACTAGTGGCCTACGAGTCGCCCTCGTCGAAGCCCAAGACCTCACAAAGCTCCCCGACTGGTCCCTCCCGTCCGACAAGTTCTCCAACCGATGTGTCTCCCTCACACCGACTTCAGCGCACTACCTAAACGACATTGGTGCCTGGTCGCACATGAAGCGAGATCGTATCCAGGAATATCAAGAGATGCAAGTCTGGGATGGCGTGACGGGCGCCCGGATCGAGTTCGACACTCTCCCGGGCTCCAAGAGCGGAGACGTCGTAGCTTACATGATTGAGAATGTGAATATGACACACGGCCTTTTACGTCGAATCCACGAACTCGGTGGTGTATCCATCTTCGACAGCGCCAAGGTCGAGGAGATTTCCCTCGGCGAGGAGACGGAGGGTATGGATCTCAGCGAGTGGCCCGTTCTACAGCTATCGAGCGGGAAGAAACTATGGGCGAGGCTACTAGTTGGCGCCGATGGGGCCAACAGCCCCGTGCGAACCTTCGCGGACATCCCGAGCCGAGGCTGGGCCTACGAGAGGCACGGCGTAGTTGCTACTCTCCAAATTGAAGATGACGGCTATGGCGGCCACGGCATGAAGACCGCGTATCAACGCTTCCTGCCCACTGGCCCACTCGCCATGCTTCCCCTCCCCGGAAACTTCGCGACGATGGTATGGTCGACGACGGTCGAAAACGCAGCGAGGCTCAAGAGTCTTGCTCCCGCCGACTTTGTCGCCCTCGTCAACGCTGGCTTCCGTCTCAGCCCCGTCGACCTGGAGTACATGCACAGCCAGCCCTCCGGCCAGGTAGACGAGCTCAACTGGAGACTCCAGCATACGCAGTTCAACCAGTACGGCGTTCCCCAAGTCGTCACGGGTGTCCAGGAAGGGACCGTTGCGTCCTTCCCCTTGCGCCTTCGTCACGCCGATAGCTACATCGGCGAGCGCGTCGCCCTCGTCGGAGACGCCGCGCATACCATCCACCCACTTGGCGGTCAGGGCCTCAACCAAGGCCAGGGAGACGTCCAGAGCCTCGTCCGCGCCATCGAATACGCGGTCAGCCATGGCCAGGATATCGGCACGCGGATATCGCTTGAGTCGTACAACGCCGAGCGATATGCCGTCAACCATGTGATCCTGGGCGTGTGTGACAAGCTTCACAAGATTTACTCCTTTGGAAGTGGTCCCCTCGTACCTCTGAGGTCTTGGGGTCTGAACGCTGTGAATGCTATGAAGCCTGTGAAGGACTTCCTCATGGGCCAGGCGTCTGGGAGTGGCGCCAAGCTGTTCTAAGCCTGAATTTCCCTTTGTACAAGTATATGTAATTTATCCCAATGTAATCATATACCAGAAATTAGACATCACCACCCATCAATGGATATACTGTCCCAGGAAAAAGAGAAGCGATTTACGCAGTCTAACCAATAAAAAAAAGAGTAATGATATGTACGGCGAGGTCTTCTTGCTACTGACTCTATAATTACACAGCATGATACCGAGTCCCCAGTCTTGTTTATTTGCACATCCCCCTTTTCTTCTTCTACCGATCGACCTCACCTGTAAAGAAAGATTTTATTAGTTCTAGGATTCTACTTCCCTTCACCGGGGCGAAGGAGAGGTGAAACTTACCGAACACCAAATCCATTGTTCCGATAACGGCGACAGCATCAGCCAACAAGTGCCCCTTTGATACGTGATCGAATCCACCAAGATGGGCGAAACCAGGCGCCCTGATGTGGCATCGGTAAGGCCTCTCGGTACCGTCGCTGACGACGTACACACCCATCTCACCCTTGGGAGCCTCGATGACGGAGTACGTCTCGCCGGGGGGAACGGCGTAACCCTTGGTGTAGAGAAGGAAGTGGTGGATGAGGGCTTCCATGTTCTCCTTCATGGCGGCTCGGGGAGGAGGGGAGATCTTGTAGTCCTCGACACGGACGGGGCCGGCGGGCATCTGGTTAAGGCACTGGTGGATGATCCTCAGAGACTGGCGGAACTCCTCCATGCGGCAGAGGTATCGGTCGTAGCAGTCACCATTGACACCGACGGGAACGTCGAACTCGACCTGATCGTAGGCATCGTAGGGCTGGCTCTTTCGGATATCCCAGGGGATACCGGAACCTCGGAGCATGACACCAGAAAACGAGAGGTTCAGAGCCTCAGCGGCAGAGACGACACCAACACCTTCTAGACGGGACTTCCAGATACGGTTATCAGTAAGCATCTCCTCGGTCTCGTCGATGCGGTCACCGAACTGGGTAGCCCATTGGTAAATGTCGTCAAGAAGACCCTCGGGAATGTCCTGGCTGACACCACCGGGACGGACATAGGCAGCGTGGAGACGGGCACCAGAGACACGCTCGTAGAATTCCTACACAAAGAACTATTAGCAATTGTCTTTTCACACAGGTGGAACCTAAACTCTGGGTTATGTGTGTGTTAATTCATACCATCAGCTTTTCACGTTCTTCGAAACCCCACAAGAAGGGAGTGAGAGCACCAACGTCCATGGCGTGGGAGAGGACAGACATCAGATGGTTGAGAATGCGGGTAATTTCGCCAAACATAGTCCTGATATACTTGGCCCGGATCGGGATATCGACGTTTAAAAGCTTTTCGACGGCGAGGGAGAAACATTGCTCATTGGTCATCATGGAGACGTAGTCGAGACGGTCGAAGTAAGGGAGGGCCTGGAGATACGACTTGTACTCGATCAACTTCTCGGTACCTCGGTGAAGCAGACCAACGTGGGGATCGGCGCGAATAATCTCTTCTCCGCTCAACTCGAGAATCAACCGCAACACACCGTGGGCAGCAGGATGTTGAGGTCCGAAGTTGACGGTGTAGTGTCGGATTTTTCGGGACTCGATATCCTCGTCGCGCGACTTTGTGGCAGAGCCGTTGCCATTGAGGCCATGGGGGTCATTGGCGTTGGAAAAGTTCTCGTCGGTGGGCACGAACTTGATTCCGAGGTCGTGAGGCTCCGCGTATCTCCGGAGAGCTGTCGTCGAGATGGGCCGCGAGATGAGAGATCGAGCTGGTCGGAGGCAGAGGCGCTTGGCACTGTGGCCTACGAGCCGAGACGCTGCCGAGAAGGACATTGTGTGTATGGGTGAAGGAGCGGAGAGGGAGCTGTGGACAATTGGTAATTTTGGAGCTCTGCTCCTCCTTGGGGAACCCTTCCGCGAGGTCGGTTATGAGGGTTCGAGTTGTGACGTTCGCTTTCAAGCTTCCAGCCGGCCCATAAGTCCTCATGAAATTGCGTCTGCTGTTCGAGATTCTCAATTGAGATGGGAGTTACCGGGAACTCGTCACGTGACTAGTAGCCTATCAGACTCGTGGACTTAATAATGGGATTCGTTGCTAGGGACACGCCTAGGGCGTAGTATTAACAGCTTCTGCGCAGACTGCCCCTCGACTCCAGCCTCTTATCGCTGGTTCTTATCGCCCATTTTTCTGGAGGGGTCCATCAAAAAATTTCCATTATCGGATTTTCTTTTCGAGCTGCCATCACCAACATCAAACACTCTTGGCAGCTCTCGGAGAACGTCAATTAAAAACAACAACATGCCGCATAAATTACCAACTGAGGAGGATAGGACAGTACGTCGCGTCTCGTTCAATTCTTCTATTCTCTTGTCCATGCTCCCCAAACATACTTTCCTATCTTGTCCGTCTCACTAACCCTTGACCGACAGATCGTCCACATTAATAGGGAAACGGTGACCAATGGCATCTCGACCGACTTCCCCGGGCACTTTTTCGGTGAGGATCATAGCTTCAGCCTCGATGAATTCAAGCGTGGCCTCTCAATCAAGATACACTACAACAAGCCGCATGATCTCTCTCTCTCTCTCATCGGTGTCGACGCGTCCATCGCAAACGCCATCCGCCGCATCCTAATCGCTGAAATATCTACCCTCGCGATCGAGACTGTATTCATAGAAGACAACACCTCCGTGATCCACGATGAGGTGCTGTCTCACAGGTTAGGCTTGATACCGTTCAAGGGCGGAAAGAAGGGCCTCCAGGAGTTTCTCAAAGATTTTAAGCGCGGCGAACCCGGCGAGGACCAATTTGCCAACTCTTTCGACTGGAACACCGTCAGCTTGTCTCTCAATGTCGAGTGCACCCACAATCCTGATGCTGAGGAGGGCGAGACAGACCCGACGAAACTGTACAACCATGCCAATGTCTACGCTAAGGATATTGTGTTTACTCCGAATGGTCGGCAAGCCGAATTCTTCTCCGGAGACGACGCTATTGCACCTGTGAACCCTGATATTCTCATCGCCAAGCTTCGGCCTAGTCAGCGCATCAGCCTGGAGATGCATATGCACAAGGGTATTGGTGCTGATCACGCCAAGTTCTCACCCGTGGCGACAGCTTCGTACCGCCTGTTGCCGATTATTAATATTCTCAAACCTATCCTGGGAGCGGATGCGCACAAGTTCCAACAGTGCTTCCCGCAAGGTGTTATTGGGATCGAGAAGGTCACAAGGCGAGAGGCTTCGGTCAAGGGCAGCGGCTACGAGAACAAGGAGGGCGAGGACAAAGCTGTCGTCTTGGATCCGATGAAGGATACTGTGAGCCGAGAGTGCTTGCGGCATGCCGAGTTTGAGGGCAAGGTTAAGCTGGGAAGGAAACGGGACCACTTCATTTTTGGAATCGAGAGCACGGGTCAATGGGATAGCGACGAACTTTTCGTGGAAGCGCTACGCGTTATGAAGAACAAGTGCCTGGCGTTGGAGAAGCAGGTTGTGTTCATGGCTCGATAGGGCGAGCCCGGATCACTAAACCATGTACAATACCTTCCACGTTCTTCTTAGATGTTTATGGCCTAATGATACCAGCGTCTTTTCCCCGGTTATAACCTTCATCTTTCCAAGTCATTACGAAGTAAACGCTCGAACCACGTAATTCTTGTTTCATTTCGTCATTACACCTTTCTTTCTTTCTCCCCTCTGAGTATGAGTAGGCTAGTTTCTGGCCGGCTATGTCGCCTTGAATTTGAAATAATAGTTGAATTCCACCGCGAAGGCGGGGTCCGTGACGACCACTTCCTGACCATCTTCGATACCAAGGTCCTTGAGGGACCGGTTGAGGTTGGGCCGAGTCTGTTGCTCCAAGCTTGGTGGGGACTGCATATAAAGGGTCTTCCCTTGCACTCTTAACGAGGGCTTCTTCAACTGAGCCTCAGGTCTCATCGCGAAAGATTCCACGAGATCGCCAAGCAACATGTCCGGGTCTACTTCGAGAGGGCGTGATGCTGAGTTGCACACTGGGCAATCGTCCTTCCTCTCGTGGTTGAAGGTGTAAGTGTAGATAGAGTCGTCTCCCGAGTACATCATGTAGTTATTCTCCATCCCTAACGCGGGGGCGGCGCCAGTAGCCAGCTTGAAGGCTTCATTACAGCAGGCGGCGGCGATGATGGCATTGGTGGATGCAATGGCGGGGATGATGTTCTTGATGACACCTTGAGTGAAGGAATAGGTGATGCCGGAAATGTTGAACTCCCTGGCGCGCTGCAGGGCTTTCTGATAAATCCAGGTCACATGTTCGGGATCGTCTTTGTCGAGCTCCGGGAACGGCTTTTCTTCCTCCCAGGCGATAAGATGGGCCCATTCAACGCAGTGCTCTGGCTGTCGTGGAATGGAGGCAAGGGTGCACAGAGGCACCGCTGCCCTTGGCGCATGCATATCTAGTTGGCACTCGAAGCAAGAGGTCATACTTGGTATGATTACTCGCGCTTGGCCCTTGAAACCTGAGACGTAGTTGTTAGCACCGAAGAGGTCAGAGGCACCGATCTTCAAGCGTATATATAACCCACCCTCGGTTCCCCCATCGATCATGGGCTTGATGCAGTCGGGACCGTCTCCCTCTTCGGCAAGCGCGACCAACTTCGCATTTATCCACCTCCGAGCCTCAATATTGTCCAGGCCACAAATCACCATCTGAAATTGCTTATAGAAATCGTCATCCTTGTCCTGGATCTTGCAGTTATGCGCTGTTATTTGGACGCCCTTGACCCTTCTCATGACGAAATTCGCGGCGATCTCGGCCTTGAACTTGCCTACGTCGGCTTGTCGGAAGAGAAACTGTCGGTTGAGGTTGGATATGTCGATTGTGTCTATGGATTGTTAGTTTCCCACGGCACGCGCGACGCTAGGTCGATAGAGGCCAAATAGGTGGTGAGGTTCGGCGCACCCATATCGATTACATGAATATCCTTGAACTTCGATAGAGCTAGGTCTTTGAGGATTTCGCAGCCAAGACCACCGGCGCCTCTAGGGGGATGGTCAGTCAGAAGACTCCGCGGATTCTGCGGTCGCGTTTGGGAGGGACGAACATGACTCTGTAGAAGCACAAGTATTAATTAGCAAACCAGTCGGTGGTAGGGCGAGGTGGGAGGGCAGGTATAGGTAGAATATAGATACAATATCTTCATCTGGTCGAACTGATCAATCGCCTCCTGACTGACGGCATCGGGGTCGGTGTATGGACCGGGGTTACGGCGGATTTGTTCCAAATACTTCCTGGATGAAGGCAGACTGAGCAAGATGTGGTCGAAAGGCGTTCGCAACCGATTTCCCTTACCATCTCTCTTCTTCGTTAACAACACTACTGCCATGGGATGGGAGCCCAGGCTGAGGAGCGGAGTCGACCTCCATTTTTTGCTTTCCGTCTTGCCGGTTCTTGGGAGGCCGACTTTCTCTCGCAAGTTGGGGTGCACTTTCAAGGTTTGAGAGGCTCTCACAGCTAGGCTTCTCGTTGGAGGGGCTGAGGTTTAAGGTGGGGGGGAACTATTGGTGCCTTGCAAGAAGTCAGCTCCCACTCCGGAAATAGATTGATCGGTTCCTGACAGGGCAGGCAGCCTTAACTTGATTGATAATTCACCACTGTGAGTACGAAGTAGTGTACACAGGTAATAGCCAAGACTTCAATGTTGTTTAAGGCAGCTGCTACAGTAAACTTCCAGGCAGTGGGGCAAAATAGCGGGTGAATATCAAAGAATGCACTGTAGTAGAAGCACTGGGAAGCACTGTCATGAGTAACACATCAAGGAAACGACATGAAAGCATCAAGGTTTAAAAGGGTCAAGGCGACTACGACTTTATGTAGCAACCTGTGCCTTCACCTTCTCATCAAAATAGTATAGTCCATTTCTGTTCCGTCTCTCTCTTCAGTGGCACAAACGGAGCAAAGAGATAGAGGAGCCTGGCAGAAAACATGTAGAATCTCATTCATCTGAGCTCAGTGCTACTTTTCTCAACCATCAAACCTCACATCTCAAGTCTCGAGTCTCGGTTTGGCCAACATCATCATGGACGACTTTTTAACACCCATCAGCACCACCTACACGAACCCGAGGCTGCAACCTGCCTCAAGCGGCTCGTTAAGCGCCCACAATTCCCAAGAGGGCCGAAGATCAGATGGATTCGGAATCGCAAACCCCACTGAGGCACTGGGGATCCTCAAATCCCAACCAGACTACGACACCCTCATCCGTACTCTACGATACTTAGCCGATCCGACGAGCGGTGTCAGTCTATATAACCCAGACGCCGTGGGATCACGGATCGTCGTTACTCTTGTGAATGAGACTGCTCCGAACTACTGGCCCCTCCTCCGCGAAGGTTCGGCTCAAGAGAGCGAGTACAGCGGCTCTAGTTCCCACGAGATCCCCGATCTTGCACTCCTTTTGACATGCATACGTAACCTTACGGGAATTAATACCATCACACTTCAACTACGAGCTCTCACCAAGGAGATAAATTCCAATGCCAGAGGTCCGAAGCGGCCCGATCTTGAACTCAACACGGGAATATATCTGGATACCCTGTCGGCTGTCCTCGATGGGGACGATACCCTGAGATCGATATGGCTCGGGACTATCAGTGACCCAAAAACTACTCCTGGCCAACGGCAGACCATCTCACGCGAGATCATCTCCACTTTTGCTCGCGGAGGCTTGGTCTCGTATGCCGCGGAAGCGGATATCTTAATGGGAAACAAGGGATCATCAGTACATTGGGTTTCGGATGGAAAACTGTACACGCAGTGGCTTGCTCGATCCATCGCTAGTTGGTTGAGGAAGGCTCCCCCAGAAGAAGAATGCGATTTTTGTGCTCAAGTCCTTGTGGGCTCTTGGAGCCTCGGATATGCCGGTGAGTTTTCCGGCTCGTTAACCTCGTTATTTCTTGGATGTGTTTCTTACAAGACTTAGATCAACTCCATCGAGAGCTGTTCGACTCCCTCCTATTACGCGAAGATGCGGATCCTGATACGTTATCACGATTCATCCTCGCACTTCTACCGAGGGAGCGGGTCAGGCTATCTTATGCCGTTTTGGACTATCTCTCAACGGCTGTGCTAGAGAAGGTCGAGTCATCGGATCCTTCTCTCCATGCTTCCATCATCTCCGCGACTATCTCCATATTGCGTCGCGTGTTGCCTGAGGAGGCCTTGAACAAATCCTCTCTCATCCACTGGCTCATCCCCGAATCTGTTAGGTCCGCTCCCGAATCCAACGTGTGGATGCGACGAGCCATTCTCGCGTCTTACTCCGATGACCGCCAGTTTCTTGTCAACCTCATAGACAAGGGGCTGCGGCTGTTTGGTGACAGTATCTACATCGGACATGCTCCGATGATCCACCAACAAGGTAAGTTCCTCCATGCAACGTCTGCGTGCAGTCCTCTGACCTTTTTGACAGCTCTCGCCCAAACCATCCTTTTGAGTTCGGCCTATCTTCGCCGTCTCGATAACTCAGAGTTAAGAATTATAACGAAGTCTTCCCCTTACATCAGTATGGTTTCTTCTAGGCTGGCTTCTCCTAGCACTGGAGCTAGGTTCCTTGGTATGGTCGTTGGTGAAGCCATCTCCTCAACGGTCCCCACCCCTGCAGGGAGCCTCCGCTTTGAGATGCCTGAAATGGAGAGCGATGAGGCGAACTGGTATAAGAGTCTTACGACTGTCCAAGACGAGCCTGGACCGATCCAGCCCCTCTTGAAGCCCTCGCTTGTGACAGAACCAACTGCAACAAAAGGGCCAGCAACGTCAGCTCCTCCAAGATCTAAAAAGTCGAAACCGGTAAAGGTCATTCCGGAAAAGCCAAGGCTGATCATTGAGGAAATCGACACCGATAATGACGATGATATTGTTCCTTACGCAAAACCTGACTCTGATGCCGAAGATTCTGAGGAGGACCCAACACTCGTCCGACGTGACAAACCCAAGGCACCGGTGTACATCCGCACCCTCATCGAATACCTACGGGACACCGAAAACTACGACAAGCAGAAGCTTGCGTTGAAAACGGCGCCGTCTCTTATCCGCCGAAAGGGAAAGTTCGGGACCGAAGTCAGCGACCATGCCGACGAGTTGGCGACTCTACTCGTGGGCCTCCACGACAAATTTGACCTGGAAGATTTTCACGAGCTTCGTCTCGAAGGCATGGTAGCCCTTCTCGTTGTGCAACCCCAGAAAATGGGTCCGTGGTTCATCAAAAGTTTCTTCCAGGGCGATTTCTCCCTTTCGCAGAGAGCAGCTATCTTGGCTGCGCTCGGCCTTGCCGCTAGGGAGCTTGCCGGGTATGGAACGTCTGAACATGCGGTGGGCACCTCATTCCCTTCCAAGAAGCTTTCCGAAAAGATGGAGCAACTATTCCTAGGACCTAGTGGCTCTGGTGGAAACAACCTCGTCCCAGGTTCGACATTGAAGGCCTTGCCTCCCACCGCCTTGGACGACATCACCAAATCCATGACCAAGTCGTTCCTCGGCCCCATGGCCGCGGAGGCCGCAGACAAATTCACAGGCCCCGACGCCCTCAAACTCGCCACTTTCAAAAGCAAAGCCCGCCCCCGCCCAGCCGTCCGCATAATCCCCAACACGACCGCCAACCTCATCCTCTCCTCCTTCTTCGCGCCCCTCGTCGACCGCTACCGCTATGCCCTCAACGCCTCCTCGGCGCGCATCTCCACCGTCCTCACGGAACCCTATGTCCTCGCGACCTTTCTCAAGGCCGTCGCCGTGCTCGTCCACGCCGCGGGGCCCTCGACCCTCGCGCTCGACGATATGACCGAGCAGTCGTGGAGCGTGGTGCTGGCTCTCCGAGCGCACATGGTGGGGAAGTTGCCCGTCACGGCCGCAGGTATTACGGTTCTTGCGACGCTGCTGGAGGTTAACGAGAATAGGACTAGGCACCTCGTGCAGAGGATGGGAAGGAAGATCACTGATACTGTGGATTGGCTGGATCGGCTTTTGCAGGTTACGAGGGGCGGGGATAAGGAGGAGGATGAGGTGAGGATGTTGGCGGCTGGCGTGCTTATTCGGCTGCACGAGATTGTGGAGGAGCATCAGGCGGCGCTTATGGGGTATTTGATTTGAGAAATTACTGGGAACGGAAAATGGGAACGGTTGTTTGGGGGGGGGGGGATTGTGTGGATTTTGTGGTAGAGTAAATGTCGGTTTCACACGAATATGGGTAGAACGAAAACACTACTGGAGAAGTTGACTTGACGAAAATGCGATTGATTGTGTTATCTGACCAGTCATGGACGCATAAATGAGACATGGCCCCCAAAAAATCAACAAACGTACAATATAATACAATGCAGACGCCATTTCGCTTCCCGTACGATGCCCAACTTGCTCAAAGTTCCCCAAATAGAAGAAGAAAAATACCAGTCGAAACCAAACCCTATACCCTTTTCCCTCACTCCCTCAGAAGTGAGTCTATCCTAGCCGCCCTCCTAACCGGCAAATCCGCCAGCTTCTCATTTGCAATGTCCAAGTGTTCGCCAAAGCTCATCATGAGCCTCCTAAACTCGTCCTTGACCTCTTCGAGGCTCGCCTGTCCGAGCATGACACGGCCGGAAGGCGCGTTAGGTGCCACAGGCAGGAGGAGTCCTCTTGAAGAAATAGAAGATGGAGTCGATATGGGCATAGCTTGGGCGGGCGGTCGAGGCTGGGGTCGGGGTTGAGGTTCGAGCGGCTGATGTTGTTGCTGGAGCTGCTGGTACATGGGCTGCGGGGCGAGATACTCGTTGTCGGAGTACTCGTTGCTGCTGAAGGATTGGCTTCCGGAGTGGTATCCTCTGCGGCTTAGTCTCTGTGTTAAAGTAGCCGCTGCGAGGTCGGAGAAGGGGTTGGCGAAGGTGGAATCGTCGGAGACGTAGATGGACGGCTCGCGGTTCGAAAAGGGTACGTAGAGGCTTGCGTGGCGCTCAAGGTCGAACGGGTTGTTGGGGCCTCCTAATTCGGAACCGGTTACGGACCCCACGTCGGAGTGGGCGGTAGAGGGTCGAATAGGGTCGCTAATGGGGTCTGGAAGACTCATGTCGAGGTCGATAAGGCTGCCAGCGGATGCACGGTTGGCGGCCTGGGAAACGGCGCGGGGGACAGCTAGCTGTTCACTGCTGCTATAGGTAGGCGCCATGGATAGAGGATCAGCGGTGTAATGATGGAGTCCTGGCTGACCCGCCGAGCTAGGGGCGGAGTGCTCTTCGTTAAAAGGGAATCGGGAAATCTCTGGGTTTGCTGATGCGGGGGGCGCCATGGTAGGGAACTTCCAGTCTCGGGTTCTTCGATTGATGTTGAACTGCTCAGGGTCGCTGAGAGGGGGCTTATTGAAATCCTGCGGCTCAGGCATGCTGTAGCTGTAATCCAGCGAAGCACGCGGTACACCCGATGCTCGGATGGTTTCCATATCGGCAAAGTGTGAGAGTTCCCCGCCATGGAGAGACGCATCCAAGTCGATAAGAGACTCCCTAACATCGGACCCCTGACCAGAGCCATCCCTGAGAGGCAGATCGGAGGTTGGTGGAGGTGGAGGCCCTACGCCATAATAATTCTTGGAATTTTCCGCGTACCCAGTCAAGGTGTTTGGATCAAAAACCTTCTCAAGGGGTGCTTTCAGAACTGGGAAATTTGGCGGCTTGCGCCTTCCCCTCCCCTTTTGAGGTCGCGACGTCTGTTCGGTATCGGTTAAATCAGCGCCGAAGTCAACTTGCGTGCCGTAGGCTTCGTAGACTGTTTGAGTGTCGTTGTCTCTAAAGACCTGTTGATCGAAAGCAGCAGTGGTGCTAAAGTTCCATTCGTCGCTTGCGAGTGCTGTTGACGGAAAATCCTGCGGCACCTGCGCGCCCCCAGGGGCAAAGAGAGATTTCCGGCTCCCACCTTGCGCTTCCCATAGCTTGTAAGCTCGGACAAGCATGGCAAGCGACGATGTGGGGTAGGCCGTGGAGGAATTAAAGATGTATGGGTGGCGTTGTATTTGTTCGATGGTTGGTCGGTTCCTCGGCGACTCCTCGAGAGCATAAGCCACGAGGTCCTTCAGACCGTCGCTGTATTGGTCTCCCTCCAGTCTTGGGGAATGTTGCTTCAGGTGATTTCCGAGTCGCACCATGTCCATCAACTGGGTGTTTGGCGGAAGGCCAGATGCGATTTCATAAACCATGGACCCAAAGGCCCAAATGTCAACCTCTGTTCCGTACGAGGCAGTCTGTTCGAATGCGAACAGCTCGGGCGCCATCCAGTGTAATGTTCCGATAAAGGTTGACCGCTTGTCAAACTTGGTCTCGATAACACCGGCGACGCCGAAATCGCATAGCTGGACACCACCAGCTTCGTGTATTAGGATGTTTGCGCATTTGATATCGCGGTGGATGATGCCTTGCTTGTGAACCCAGAAGATTGCCTCAGCGACTTCTCGAAGGATGGGAATAATCCACCTTTCTTGCAGTCCCCCGGGGGCTGTGGGTTTCATCAAGGTCGCGACGCTACCTCCGGCGCAGTACTCGGTGATCATCCACATCGACTGACCAACAGGGAGAGCGTCAATCACATGGTTAATATTCTTAGCGCCGCTGTTGCTGAGAAGCTTCAGGGCATTGATCTCTTTTAGAAATTCTCCGTATGTGTCGGAGAGTTTGGGGTTAAGCGTATCGCTCTCCTCAATGTCGATAATCTTGACGGCCACTAGCTGGCTATTTTTGACAGCTGTGGCCTTGTACACCCTTCCAAAACTTCCTTTACCGATCAATTCAGAAAGAATGTAGGGAGGAACCTCCTGGCCCGCAGACACACACTGCTCGTTCACAGTAGACTGCATAATTTTAGCATCTTCTATCGCCTTTTGCTTTGTGACAGAGAAGTCCGGGCCCCGGACTTGTAAGGTCGCCATTTTGGCTGGATCCGCTGACTTCTTCGCGAAGCCTAAGGTGCGTGGGATAAGGGGAAGGTTAGATGAGGTACAGTAAGAGTGCCGGTCCGGAAAGCCAGGAGAGCGTAGGAAGACCGGCCGGATGGAGTGCGGTTGATTTGGAAAACAGTTGGATCTGAAAAACAGTTGGATCGAAAAACAGTTGGATTAAAAAAACAGTTGGATGAGTGGTATTACACGGAATATTTTCGTCCTTGTCGCTCGTCAAGTTGACAAGCGTCGGCACTCCAGGATTCCCTTGGTCAGTGCCGGCCAAGAATGGCTCAGTATTTCCCTACTGGGACGAGCCCAGAGATGCGTCGGAGACGTCTGGCCTTGCAGCAATAGGATCGAGTGGAATATCTACTTCGCCCGAGAATCGGGGAATGGATGAAGTGTCTGAATTCCACGAATTCCACGAACCGGGAGATCCAATGGAAGGACAATGAGAATCCTCAGCAGGACGGGCTTTCTTGCGACCCCACAGGTTGCAAAAAAACTTGCCGAGAGAGGAGAGGAAGCTAGGCTTCTTCGGCTTCTCTGGCTGCCGAGCAGCAAGCCTACCAAGGTTAAGCCGACTGAACGTGGGCAGCGTGGAAGATCCGTGTGTGGTGCTTGGCCACTCGTGAATGATATCGGAGCTATTACTGGATGTGATGCACCTCGCGTATGGCTTAGGAAGGGAAACGGTGGGGCTTGGACTGCGGACGAAAAGGCTGCAGAAGCAATTGAAACCTAAATGTGTCAGTAACTTGAGTGTGTTAAATGGGCACGAGTATCTCTCTACCTTGAGCAATGAAACTGCTTGGGGGCGAGGGCGGGATCAAATTTGGATCAATTAAAAACTGGTCACTGCCAACTGAATACTGGTCGGTAGGGTCCGATTCGGTTTCAGCCGGATATTCGTCGTAGGGCGGGTAGATATCCCAGACGTCAAGATCCCTATGAACACAACATATTAGCGTTGTCAGTTCTAAATCGAATCCAGTAATCGAGAAATATTAGTGCGAAAAGGAGCAGATGGATCACTTGATTTGCTGGCTGGGGACATGCCTCGATGATGAAGGAATCGCCTCCGAAGGGTATCTGTCACAGAAGTGATCAAAGTCACGGATGGCCTCCCAGACTTCCCATCGTTGACGGAGTCGACTGTCTCGCAATGCAGCATACCCTGATGAGACAGTTGGTCCAGCAATGGTAGGTGGAAAGTTCTCTTCATCGCTCCTATCAGAGTCAGATGTGATAGAACTTCCAATAGAAGGAGGATAATGCTGGTCGAGAGCTGAGTTTCGAAGATGAGGAGGATACTGTGGATCGACACCTGGAATACCGTCACAGCGTCGGAAACGCTGAATAGGACGCCGGGCACGATCTTCAGCGTAGGTGGGCATCTTGACTTTGGGGAAAAGCTTGCTAAGTGGTTGTGTGGTGGTGATGTATGGTTGTGAGGGGATAAGGAATTTGCTAGCAGGACGAGTTTTAAGACTTGAAATGCCTGGATGACTCCCTAACTGTAGGGAAAGGAAAGGGTAATAGGTTTGAGGAAGTGATGAAAGGTGATGGATGCACTTGGCTTGCTCTGGAGATGTAATGGAAGGATGAAATGGTGGGGGACAGAGTAAACAGACAACTTGAGCTTGAGCTTAAGAGCCAGGCTAAGTAAGGGACTCACAGACATCTCCAAGGAAGGCACAAGTCTCCCAGAAGATGACATGCTCTAAGCTCCCATGAAGCCAAGGTAGGCGACAAGTGTAGGCTGGAAGGCCAGGGCATGTTGCCATGACCAAGGAAGAGGAAGGTGCAGATAAGAAGCCAGATCCCTCTCTAGGATTTAGAGCTAACAGCCTAGCTGCCAGTCCTTCTCGCCATCCTGCAGTTTAATTGCCCAGAAGGCCCAATATCACCTAGCCCTCCCCTAAAGATCCATGATGTATGACCGATGACCAAGTCAAGGCTACATCTATCCATACCAAGCCTTTGTATGCAGCCCATAGAAGGTGCCGTGTCCTAGTCACAGCATGCTCCAGCACAAGAACTAGACACCCAGCCATCTCCCTTCCATCCTGCACAAGGCTCAAACATGCTGAACAGAGTCCGATTTCCACAAACACAGAAATGAAGTAAATCCCCCATCCCAAATCAGAGCACCTGCCAAAGGGACCTCAAAGGCTCAAAGCACATTGACAATAGCATATTGCACATGGTATACATAGACAGGGGAAAGGGATACTAACCAAAGCCTTGTTTATCGTGATCCTTTTCAAAAGATAAAGGACTTTTAAGATAGGCTCCCACTATCCCAGTCCGGATGATGGCCTCGAGGCTTCGTATAATTGACGATGATCGACGCGGAGGAACTCGAAGCGCGGAACTCGCAGTTAGCCCGACATAAGATAGCAAAGTGACCAGAAACTCCGCGCCGAGACCACAGAATTGAAATACCCCGCCGTTATTGTCTCAAAGAAGGACATGCAAAAGTTTACGTTTGGAGATCTGCTTGAAACAACTTCGGTCCTCCCCATGGCTCGAACCAAACCTGAAGCGATGTTGTTGGAACTTGAATCAACCCCTGATGAGACTGCCGAATTTCAGCCGAGGGTATCCGCCAGTGGGTCCTGGACGCACTTTGCCTGGCTGCAACTGGGGGCTGCAACTGTGGGCTGCTGCCGGCCCCAGATTTTTACCATTGGCCACTCCCTGCACCAAATCGGCACAGGAGTACGTTGATCAATTGATCTCGGACCCACAGAGACAGATTGGGTGCTGACAATCGATCTTGACCGTGCTGAATTATAGCGGGGTACATTCTCTGTTGTACTGAACTTCAGCCTTTTTCGCCCCCAAACACGTCAGGGTCAACTCACCATCCAGTGCTCTTGATCATATCCATTGCCGCCTCACAGCAGCGACAGCGGAAATCATCAATATGGCAATCGTCCTAGATTTCGATGGAACGATTACTACCCAGGATACCATTGAAGTGCTCGCCCAACACGCCATTTCTTTTCATAAGGAACAGCATGACAGGGATCTCTCAGACGCTTGGAAGCAGATTCTGGAATCTTATTATGGCGACTACAGCGACTATGTGTCCAACTATGCAGTCCCCCAGGATAAGCGAGTGAGTTTAGAAGAAGAAACCAAGTTTCTGAACGGCCTCCAAGAGGTCGACATGGCGTCTCTTCGACGAGTCGAGGAATCCAAGATCTTTGATGGAATATCATCCTCGGACTTCTTTTCTGCCGGCGTCTCTGCGGTGGAAGAAGGAAACGTGACATTGCGGCCGGGAATCTCGGAGCTATTAGCTACGGCGCAGAAACACGGATGGCTTATTTACATCGTATCTGTCAACTGGTCGAGTAGCTTCATAGAGGGTGTCCTGCAGCATTTCGTCGCTAATGTGCAAATTGTGTCTAACGAGGTGGTTGCGAACGGCAAGATATCCGGCCCCAACGGCACTGGTGTTATGGCAACCTCCGCCGACAAAGCCCGAGCTCTCGCGAACCTACCAGGCTTGGATGCTAAACCGCTGGTGTATTTTGGAGATTCTTCTACAGATATCGAGTGTCTTTCCATGTCATCCGGGATCGTGCTATCACCAGCTGCGGACTCCTCTCTCCTCAAGACCTTGTCCCGCATCGGGCTAGAGGTGCCTCACGTGCGTGATCGCAAAGACATCCATAGGCTGTCGTGGGCTAGAGATTTCACCGAGATTCTCGAAGCTGGCGCCCTTTCGCTCCTGGAGCCTCAGCCTAAGACCTAAAGGCTGAGCTTTACCTCTGTTTCAGAAAACAGCTTTTGAAAATCTACTCATCTGCTAATACCTCATGCATATATTCTATGTATGTCTATCTGTCCCTTGCCATCGGTCGTCGCGCAGTGCCGTGGCAAGAGACAAGATATTGTCCAGCTCTTTGTCAAGAATTACTTCGACCCTTCTATTGGATTACTGCCTTGCAAACAAAGAAGAACTAATCTTTCATTAACAGCCCTAGGCCCGGCCGAAGGTCGGGGCAAATATATATATATATATAGTCTGGCCGCGAAGAAGAAGAAGAGTTTGGAGTGCGCTACTCTCGGATCAGAAGCGCATTTCTCTGAGCCTCTCCTCTCCTTATAAGCTACCATTTACCTCCAGCGGCCGTCATCTACACAAGACCGAAACGAGGAGACGACGACGAATACCCACCATGTGTCTCTATAAACGCATACTCCACAGCTGCAAGCACGAATCTTGGACCAAGAAGCTTGCCGATTGCGCCGTTCAAGAACAGTACCAGCTCGACCCAACCTCCCACTTTCCCTGCTCAACCAGAACCTCGTATCCCATGTACACAATCTCCGTCGACAAAGATTGTCAAGATTGCATACGTCTCGATGAGTTGGCCGTTGCCGCGAGGAAAAAGATTTTCGACCTGTCGCTCACCATCGCCGAGATCATTGAGGCCGCAGGGACTGCCCGGGACTCTCAGCTCGCGAAAACCGGAACCACAGAAAAGAGGGCCACTCGGGACGACAACAAGGCGAGCAGATTCTTTAAAGGCTACCGCGGCGATGACAAAAAGAAGTCCGGGATATAGTCACGTCCAAGGGGAGGAGAACTTGTGGATAATCCTCCTCGTCCGGATCTGGGTCCGGGATCCAGGATGAAGGGCTCAGTCTATCTCGCCACATGCACGGACGGGCTTATTCCATGGCCATCCCAGGTTTAGTTAGTTTCTAGAGAAGCAGAAGCAACCGATATTGGCATCATCACATTTTCTATCACGCGAAATAAAGCACGGAGATATGTACCTACTAGCTAGCAGGAGTCTTGTATGTAAAATCCGATGGAAATGGAATAAATCACAGTGCATAGGACTGGAGTTGTCTCTTCACCCATCAATGTCTTTTCTTACCGTAGATCAAAATCGATCCCGTCCACTTATCTTGTGAATAACAAGCCTGTGCCCCGCACAAGATTAAGCCCGTCAATTCCAGAACTTCAAGAAATGGCGAGCCAGGGTTGAGAGGTGGGCGATGAGACAGTTAAAGTGTCAGTGCGAAAGGAGGCGGCGGTGATACAGGAGATTTAACCTCGGACTTGCCTCTCACTACGAAGTATTTCATCAATCGCTACTCTTGAAATTAGACCAAATCATCACGGACTCAAACGAAAGAAATAACAAGTCAAACCCAACGATTTACTAGAAGCGAAGAAAATCTAGACTTTAATTCAACTCCCAAGATAGAATAATCATCACCAAGACCCTAACCCAAGATGTCGTGTAAGTCTACCCCTCAATGGTTCCCCTCCGTCGCCAGTCACGGACTAAGTTTCCTTCAGCAATCCTCAACACCTCAGCAACCATCCAGCACAAAACCCCCCTCCCATCAACCCTCACCGGACCCCAGGCAATCACAAGCCTCCAAAACCACGAAGGCTTCATCAAATGCGACCCGCACATGATCTCCTACAAGCCCCTCCCCGAAAGCACTTCCGAACCCATCCCCTCCACCATCACCTGCTCACCTCCTGCCGGCCGTCCCGCCGTTGTCTATGAGGTGACGGATCGGGTGCACGCCCTGCCTGCGGGGCTATGGGATTCCGACGTCGTGAGCACTTACGAGTTTGTGGATCTAGAGAAGGGCATGTTCGTGAGGTTGAGGAGTCCGTTGAGCGTGGTTATGGAGACTGTGTGGGAGGTTAGGGAGGTGGAGGGGGGTGGTGGTGGGTTAGAGTTGGTGGAGGAGGTGACGATCTCGTGCTCGAGGCTCTTGGTCGCCGTAATTAAGGGGCAGTGTGAAGGGAATTGGAAGGGTATTCATGGGAACCTGGTTGCGAAGATGGAGGGCAAGGAGGCAACGGAGGGCTAGGCACCGGCTACGAGTGGTGATGGCTGCCTACAGACGTGTCTCTCTCTAGCAACTTGAAATGGATTCCTGCTGGCTAGGATTGAATATAAACAGTTGGTTCTCGGGAATGGAAGGCACGTTTAGGCAGGTGTGGCGATGCAAGTTTCCTCGCCGTGGGTCTGCCTTGCCTTCCACGTCCCGACAGGATAATGATAGGAATGACTAGGCAGCTCAGCAATTAATACACTCTGAGAATCGAAATCAATAATACACATATGAATCTCCAAGCTCATCATCAGGCGGAGCACTCATCAGGAATAAGACCCTAGGCAACAGCTCCCAGGCAGCAGTTGCTGCCTATCCTGCCTATCCTACCACCCTTGTCAACCAACTGCTGCCGAGCTCAAGGGGAAAAAAATATAAAAGGAGCCATTCGCTCCTCCGATTCTCCCTCCTTCTCTTCTCTCTTCCTCTCCAGCTTTTCTGGCCGATTTGGCTTTGATCAGTGTGTAGTATCTGTTCTTCCGACGCTTAATCGCGCGGACGTCGGGGCCTCTATCCCCGGCCGCTCTTTTCAGCATAATTTTTTACTGCCCATGGTGAGTCGGACCGCGGACCTCCTTTGTCGGGGATCGCGCGACTCTGCCACTGTGTCCCTGGTATCACACTGCCTCCAGGAGACGCGAAAATAGGTCTTCATAGCTGTTCTTCGTTTTGTTTTCATCTATGCCTCCCTGGCTTGTCCAGGGCTTAGAAGAAGACGGGAGGGATTGAGGGAGAAGATGTTGTATAGTCAGAAACAGCACGTTTAGAAAGTCAAATAAAGTCACATGAGGCGACATTTATATTGATATAATGTGAGATTGGGTTTAGCAGTGAGCAAGTGTATCTGGGAACGCTCCCTGGGAAAGCCGCCAGCCGGACTTAGATGAACCCAGGGTCATGCATAGAATCACAGATGTCAACGACAAATCTACCCGCAACTGGTTGGCCTACCGGACCAAGGACACTTCTTTGTATGTGAAGAGATCTTATTTCAGGATAGCCGATACGCAGGACTAGTAGTCGGCTCTCATGTTGTGTTGAGAATGCCCCTCAGACATGACCGCGACTCTCAAGGCGAATCAACTCTTCAACCCGCTCTTCGCCATGTTCGAATCCCCATGGCAATGCAATCGTTGGCATCTTCTGGCCCTTGCTATTACCGCTTGGTCCATATCCTCGGTCGACGTTTCTCCACATCGAAGTCGCCTCCTGCAAAAAGCAAGATGGAGATTCCAACATCTTGTCATAGATTAGGAGCACCTAGTAGGCTCAACATGTAAATCGTATCCCGCCCAATGTAAGTCACTAAAGAATAGATATGAAGGCACTCACAATTGGTATCTTTCACAAACAGAAGGGACCATTCCTTCATGACCAGGAAAGGGTCATCTGTGTCTCTGCGATGCCGGCGGTCTTAACCTAAGGAACCACGACGAAGAGATGGATGCTCCCAAGGCATCGTGGGCTTCCTTAACCCTATGCCACAGCTCTTTTCTTTCCTTGAAAGATTTTCCAAAACAAAAACAATCTCTCTTTCACATCCTCCACCATTACTCCCAAGAACTGAGCACTGAGCTCTACAGTCCATCCTCCCCTTTATGACCTTCCCTTGAAGAAAGCTTGTAAGTAGCACATGAGAGACAATTGTTCCGGACTTGCCACTGACTACTGTCAAGAAATCAGAACCCCAAGGCCATGTTTGCGCCTTCTGCCATCGACCTTGAGGGCATAAAGCCCATCAAGGTCCAGCCGAGCGAGCCTCGAAGTCTCGAGCTTTGTGACCAGGAACGAGATATCTGGATCAAGTGGACCGAGCTCAACAAGTTAGGCCAACACGTTGGCTTCGTTAAAGAGTGGAAGAGAATTCCGAATGTTCTGCATGCCGAAACTATCATTAGGGACGCCATGCAACGTGAACTCATCCCTCCGAGCCGGGATATCGAAGTGGCTAACTTCGACGGTGGTGCCTTTCACGCACTCTTCAAGCTCACGCTCCCGGATTGGGACACCAAGAACGTCATCTTGCGAATCCCACTCCCTTGTGACCCCTGGTACAAAATGGAGTCAGAGGTCGCTAACATGGTATTTGCCGCCTATCATGGCGTTCCAGTCCCGCGGTGCCTCTATTTTGATTCCAGCGCCAAGAACCCGTATGCATTGGAATGGATGATTATCGAGCTTGTTGAAGAGGCCGCTACTCTCGACGCTCAGCAGTTCAGTGAGACTTACCAGGGCCGGCTGAGGTTGTTTAATCCCATCTTGCCGCAGGGCTACGACCTCCTTAATGAAATCAAGGAGAACCTCCAGAAGCTGGAGCGGACACGCTTCAGCGAGATCGGCAGCCTGTACTGCAATTGGGAGGCGAACTCGTTCTACGTTGGTCCCATCGTAGATGGAGAGTTTCATGGCAAGTATACTTATCTCTTAAGCCTTGGCCGCCGCGGCCCATTCAAGACGGTTGAGGAGTACCTTGGCAACATTCTCGAGGTGAGGCGCCGAGCCAAGTTCAACCGCGCCAAATATTTGAAGAATAAGAAGGCATGCTTTGGAGAAGAGGAAGTTGCGAAGAACACGTTCATCTATGGAGAAGACGTACTGCACCAGTTCACCGCCGTCGCGAGTGCCTATGACCAGACGAAGGTCGCAAGCGAGGATGACGGCCCCATCAACGGATCGTGGACTTATTTGCAGCACGACGATCTCCACGCAAGCAACATTCTCATCAAAAACGGAAAGATCGAGGCTATCCTCGATTGGGAGAAGTGCAACATTCTCCCCCCGTTCCTCCGTAAGAACCACGGAGTGCCCAATGTGAACAACGCATTCATCCGTTCCTATTTCCCGCCGGCCATCTTCTCCGAAGATGCTATGGCCGTGGTCCCGCCCGAGCACCGCGACTCCCTTCCCACGAGAGATATCGTCGTCAAACTGCTTCCAGCTCCCCAGCACGTTGACCCGTTGAGCACGGTGCTCCGCCTTCTGGCCACCCATGTCAGAAAGTCGGACCTGCTTGGCAACCAGAACGAAGAATGGGTCAAGACCCTGGATGAACTGTCTGAGTGGTTTTTACTTCATACGCCCAAGTAAGTCTGGAATGGCCTAATGGCGAACGCATTAGAGGAAATCGCTAACTAGGTGAAATAGAGTCACGGATTCTGTGAGGGCGTACTTGGCCGCCCTTAGCGATCCTAGTGATGTGAGCCGAACCGGAAGAAGAATGTGATGACGCCTTGAGCCAATTGAGCAGCACATACTGCATATAGCAGACACAGGAGACGGGTATAAATGACGAATGCATAATACAGACAGACGCCAGGTCTGTCTTCCTCAGAGTGTTTATGTTTGAAGTGTCCCTGTGCCTGTGCTTGTATCCTCCACTGTGCTCTGTGAGCCTGCTTCAACTGTCAGCAACTGCTAAATTTAGAAGCTTAAAGAGCTCCCGAGACCCCTGGATTCCCATTTTAGAGCATCAATTGACCCTCACTAGCTTCTGAGAATCCAACTCCAACATTGAACACTGAATTGCATTTGTGTAGCACGGCAGCTTCTCTGCCCCCAACCCTCACCATGGCCCCTTGGCCCTTCAATTCCTCCTCACCGCCGCCGCCACCGCCGCCACCACCGCCCTCCAAGGAAGAGCCTCCAAAACCTGTCTCCCTCTCTGACTACCTCCCCGACGACGAACGCCTCCGGATCCTTGTCCCCACCGTCCTCTCGACCGTCGGCATCCTCAGCCTCGTGGGTGTCTACACCCGTTACTTACGACGAATCCCAGGGACGGCATACATAAAGCCCACTGCTTTCCGAAGGCGTTCACTCTTTGGCCGTGTGACGAGCGTAGGGGACGGTGACGGCTTTCACTTCTATCACACTCCGGGTGGCAGGTTAGCTGGGTGGGGTTGGCTTAGACAGGTCCCAGACAGCAAGGCCCAGCTCAGGAACCAAACTGTAGTCCCCCCCCTTTTCTTCCCCTATATTATCCGCTAAGTGTAATTCACATTTTCCTAACCTCTTCCTCGTGCCCATAGATCCCTATCCGCCTCGCTGGAATCGACGCCCCCGAAGGCGCCCACTTCGGCCGCCCTGCCCAACCCTTCGCCGACGCAGCCCTCTCCTGGCTAACCTCCTCCATCCTCCACCGCCGCGTCCGTGCCCACATACACAAGCGTGACCAGTATGACCGCGTAGTAGCCACGGTGTACGTCCGCCGCGGCGGTATATTCTCTTTCCTCTTCCCCTTCTTCCTACATCGCGACGTGGGGTTGGAGATGCTCAAGCGGGGGCTCGCCACGACGTACGAAGCCAAGTCAGGTGTTGAGTTCGGAGGGAGGGAGAAGGCGTATAAGGCGGCGGAGGCGAAGGCGAAGGCGAAGAAGGTGGGGATGTGGAGCATGAAGGCGAGCGAGTTTGAAAGCCCGAGGGCTTACAAGGCGAGAATACGGGATGGGGAGGCGAGCGGAACTGGTTCGTAGAAGAGCTTGGTTTTGGATGTTTCCCAGCCTGTGTTATTGCCCTTTTGATGTCTAGTACATAATAGCATGATACCCATTGTCGCCAGCAAATATAATATTTTCCCTCGCGTTTAACTGTATATTACGGATAGGCCATGGCGATCAAGCCGCTGACTTCGGGGACATCCCAGGGCTGAGATCCAAATTCATGGTGCTCTTGATTCTTCCTTTGTTTCCTTCTTTCCCCTAACTCCATACACCAGTCTACTATACGTTTATAAATGGCACGCCGTAGCTTCCATGAGCATTCCGAAAAAGAAGAAAAAAAAAAGATCACAAGACTCTGCCCGCCCATCATTTGCCCACGTGGAATGTCCAATATGACAGGATAGAGGTAGCCTCCGTACCCTTAACCTCTGTCCAATATCAACCTCTTTGCAACCATGCCAAACGCCGGATCCCAATGTACAATATCCTGAAAATCTAGTCGTGATTCATCTTGTAGTGGTAGCAAAAGCATTCTAGGATGCTTAGCCGTATATGTCCGCTGATGATATGAGAATTAAGTGCGCTTTCTCGGTTTCATGAAGATGTCCGGTTTGCGCTTTCGAGGAAAGGCGACGTCGGGGGACTGCTGAGACGCGGCTGCTGCCTGCAGCTGTTGTGGAGGGGATTCTGCCCGTGGCCTTGCGCTGAGCTTAGATGGTGTAGTAGACGAGTTTGAAACTTTTGCCATGGCTGGGAGTGTGGTCGAAGGTTTTGGCGGCGGTGAAGATGCAGAGGGCCTGGAACCGGATGTGGATTTCATAAACCGGGTAGATCCAGGCTTGCCTGGGAGTAAACCAGCGCTAGGTCGCTTGAGCGGTAAGGATACTCTCGTCGCCTCAAGAGGCCTTGAGCTTTGTGTCTTGGAGACGGAATTTTTGCGACTAACCGAGTAGGAGTTGCCGTCATAATTGTCGTCGTAGCCGCCGTCGTCGTCAAAGAGCGGTTCCCGTTTAACTGTGTTTTGCCGTCTGCCAGAGCCCAGTCTTGCTACTTTTGCTGGTGGTCGATCCCCGTCACTCTCTTCTCCGAATAAATCATCCGAGTCGTCTTCCTCGGATACATTGATAACAACGCATTCGGGATCCTCTCGCTTCCTCTTCGTGGCTACCTTCGCATCGGTATTCGAGGATTGGGTGGGTCGAGAGGATGTAGGGGGCAATGACTTGCGAAATTCAGGTTGAGAGGCGACTCGATGATGTTCGATGAACCCGGTAGGCGCAGCCCTGAGCTGACCCCCTGCCGCATTCGAAACGCGGCTTACAGCACCTAGGGATCCTCGCTGGGCAGCTATATCCTTGGCCTCCCGTCGTGCGCGCCGAAGAACGTTCTTTCCACTCACTAGCTTCGTCCTACTCCCAGCAGTAAAGGCCAAGGTACTCGACCCAGCTTGACGCTGGCCTGAGCGAGGGGCCCCAATCCGCCGGCCTGTGCCTGTCCGAGGTGGTCTTGGTAGACGTTTTCCATCGACAATCGTCGCTACATTGCCTGATTCTTCTTTCGCCAGTCCGGCGAAGGCACTCTGTAAGGCGGCGGTCGCGGCTCTCAAAGATTCCTCATGCTCCCTCTTATATCGCTTATAGACCTTCCACCAGCCAGCAGGATCGGAGGGAACATAGTTCTTTTTCCTAGCGGTAGGGAAATCGCGGTGGATCATGGCCTTCCAGTACTTGGCCGTATGACCTTGCAGCTGAGGAGAATTCACCTCCACCTCGCGCAACTGGGCAGCGGTCGGGATGCGAGCGAGAATCTTTTGTACATGGCGGTTATCGTGGGGAAGCTCATCTCCGATTCCAGAAACCAAGTTTATATTCTTCAAGATCGTGTTGAGGCACAGGTCAACCAAAGACTTGACCGGCATCGTATTAACCGGAAAACACGGCGGAGGATAGCGTCGAGAGGATGAGGTTGGGTTAAGGTTGGAGGCTCGGAGGACGGAAATTACAGCGATATATCCGATGGAAGAAGAAACTCAATCGAAGCTGGATTATTCCGTGCTAACAAAAAAGTCCGAGACTTGTCTGTCGCTGATGCAGGTCGTCGTCGAGCGCTTATCTGGAAGGGGAGATGATGGGGATCGAAGCTAGGTAACATTCTAACTCGGGCTGTGACACGAAGAGGAGAGGAGAGCAAAGAAAAGGGAAAAGAGTCAGCTAAAAGAAGCAAACGTCAAGATACAGTTGAGGAAGAAACGAATAAGACGAAGATCTCCCGCCTTGGTTTAGGCAAGTGGCTGGGGAGATCGGAATGTGGAATGTGGGGAATGCGACAGAGGCTGTGGCAGCTGGTCGTGGCAGTGCCGCAAGCGAGCAGCTGCCTAAGCGCGTCAAGATACACCGCGCTCACACGCCTAGAACAAGTCTAGGGATAGTGAAATATAGTGGTGGACCAAAAGGATCAATGGCATCATTGATGATTGAAGAGGGGCACAATAGGTTACGTTTTACTGAGGCATTCTCGCTGTTTGATAGAATTAGCAGTGGTTCGCCACCCGAAACGTTGGAACGGAACGGACGCTGACGACGGCGTGGGCTCCCCTCCGCTAATTCTGGGGAACGAGTAAACTTCGGCTAATTGATCGCAACGTCTTGATCAATCGACGTAATCGCCCAAACGCAACAAAGCTAGATCACAACTTGAACCATCTTCCACGATCATTCCTTTCCCGGCCGGAATAGTCGTATAGTTCCTCGACCAACCCGCGTACGATTACGTACGCCACTTTCTACAGAATCCGATATCCATTCGAACGTCGATTCCCAACGCGTCGAAGCATACAGTCGCCTCTTTCCGACCGACATCAGCCCTGCCCTCTAACGCCCACGATCTCCAAAGCAAGCAGACCTGCGTGGCGAGCGCCTCCCGAGATGTCGGACCAGCAGTTCGTCAAGCCAGAGCCTGGTGTATCGCCATCTCCTATGGACGAGGACGACCTCTACGAGGATGCGGGTGATCTAGAGTTCTTCGATCCTTCGATACAAGGAAATCCGTTCGGTGCCTTATATCTAGCACGTATTCCTAGGGGTCTGTGGAAGGCTTGGTCCCAACTCGACGATGATACAGAGATACAAGTCGGCACTCTGAGGCAGTGGTACGAAACGGAACCTGATGGCACGATGAAGGTATAACATTTAATGTTTTCCAAGAGGCTCAAGCCTATGGCCCGCGGTGATTTCCAATAGGGGCGCCAACTAACGTCATGTCGTTCAACTAGCCTCGCATGAAGATGCTTCTCAATTCCGACCTAGCACAGCATCAGCCCGTTCCTCGAGAATATAACCTTGATATTTCCTCCGGGGTATCGAATCACTTCGTTTTTTCGGAGGCGGATCTCCCGGGATTCAAGGCAAAATCGAAAGCTAGATCCGACGCTTCTAACACGGGCTTGCCCTTGTCCATCCTGAGAGCGCGGTCTGAGAAGGTTGAGAAGCCCAAGTGGGATCGAAACAAGCCTTACTACAGAAAGGCCATTCCGAGTAGGTGCAGACGACGTGACACCAACATATGTAGCCGCGCTAACGTTCTCGCTGCTTATAGAGAAGACGAAGATCTACGGCAAGATTGCATTTGAGCTTAACTGCGCGCCGGTCCACGCCGAGGAACAGAGACACCTACTTCAAGCACAGACAAGCGAGGCAGCCCGCAGTGGCAAGCTCCAGATCCTGGATCGCCGCAATGGCCAGATCCTTCTTACAGGAACGGGTCGGGCTGCAGATTGGGACTCGAACTTTATCGTGCGTTTCCTTTGTTCCCTTCTTGATTTGTATAATTTTAGTGTTCCGCTCATCGACTAACCCTGTTCCACAGAAATCTCAACCCAAGCCGACCAAGGCGAAGAAGGTGGAGATGAAGACCATTCGTATTCCCGAGAGCGAACTCATGGACAAGATCATCCAATGCTTCTCGCGATACCAATACTGGTCACTCAAGTCTTTGCGGGCCGAGCTCAAGCAACCCGAGGCATATCTGCGCCAGACCCTCGAAAAGATCGCCGTGTTGAACAAGACGGGGCGTTTCGCCAACAACTGGTCTCTCCGGCCTGAGCACGCCGCTCCCAACCTGCAGACCTCGGGCGACGTAGCCCCTGACGCGGCTGATGGGGATTCTGAGGTTGAGGATGAGGAGGAAGTTAAGATGGAGGATGTCCTTTAGATGCATGCACACCCAAACAGCTCCTTAGGGAAAACAAAATTGGGGAGTCAAGGCGTTCAGGTAAAACAGGAAAGGGAGGTTCAACTACTATATTCGATTGTAATAATACCCTGATTAGACTATACACATTCATTCATCTGAGAGTTATCGAAGCCGGGGATAGTTATTTGAACTACCCGAAATTTGTATTTATCTCATTAAGTTCACTTTTCACCGGCAAGCAAAAACATTCGCATGCTCTGTATCGAAGTAATTTGTTCACAGGATCAAATGCTAACCACACTCTCCACCTCATCAGAGTCCATACTCGGTTGCCTCTGGATCCTCTCGTTATAACCTCACCCGTTTCTTAAAGTGAACCGCCACGGAGCGCTAGGACCAGATGGAGTGTTACGCCGGGTTCGAGGGCGTAGTCTGATGCAGTCTTATCGTCGACCCTGTTGAACGAGATGTGATATTAGCTTCCCTTCCCCTTGGATTTCCAGTCACATATATTCCATGTTCTGATCTGCAAACCGCATCCAAGAAACGGATAAAAGAAGCCCCAACGTACATTTGCTTTCCACTGTAAATCAGACGTTGTTGGACAGGAGGGATACCCTCCTTCTCTTCGACCTTCTCCTTAATCTGAGAGACCTGTATGATAGAGCGGTGTTAGGACTTATGAAGCTCTACTGTCGCAGAGGACAAAAGTTCGACGGCCGCAGGGACGAAAGTCGGGTGCCCAGGGACCAGGGAGTAATGCGTGCCTTGTAGTCGGCCTCGATATCCAGCTCGATCTCCTTCCCCGTGAGGGTTCGCACTCTATGGAGCCCGGCGCATTAGCTTCTTTCTCCTGTGTAGGTAATGCGGTAGGTGGGATCGGGGAGCGCCTACTTGATGAGCATCTTGGGAGGTGAAAAACTGGCGGATGGGAGGGAAGTAGCCGCAGCAAGGAGGAAATAACAGTAACGAGCGTCTCGTTAAAGTAAAACAGAATTTCGAGTCTAGGACGGGGAAAGGCAGGTCGGGACGTGGATGGCGATTTCGCTCGGTGTTTTGAGGTTATAAAATGGAGGGGCAGCTGCTTGTACAAATGTAGCGTGGGGTCGGATCAATTAATCATCTCCCTCTTGTAGGCGGCGGCTGTTCGTTGCACTGACGCAACCGTTCGTTTGTTGCTGGCACCGGCAATAATGGCGACTACAGTGGGCCCACCTCCCTTCAAATCGCTTGCCGCCTGCTGACAATTAAATCTTGCAGGATCACAGCGCTCAAACTCGAGGCTCTAATAGTGTAGAAGCTGGCTTGAAGATTTTAAGTTCCCAAAGCCTGTAAGCCAAAATTTCTGTTCATATGGGGAGGAGAGAGGTATCAATACCGTCTTGACTTTCAATGAGTTGGAGTTATTGTACAATTACCGTCCTATGATCAGAACCTACAGATACATCACTTATGCTAACCGTTTTCCCCCATTCGTCAACCCTATCCCCTCTCTTATTTGCTCTCCCCATCAGCAAAAACATTAAGACCGAGACCTTCCGAGTCGAGAAGGAGCCTATTCTTTCCACCAGCCTCCTGCAGGGTCGAGGCAATGATCCTGGCGTTCTCAATCTTCTTCAGCTCGACATAGGCCTTGTTCTTCTTGATGGCTTCTCCGATGAGCTCGGCAGATCGAGCCTCACCCTGAGCCTTGACAACCATAGCCTGCTTCTCCTGGCGGGCCTTGTCGACGATGAAGGCTGCCCTCTGGGCTTCTTGTTGGGCGACCTGCTTGGCTTCGACGGCGGCGGTGAACTCGGGCGAGAAGGCAAGGTGCTGGATTGAAAATGTCAGCTGTGATCATACTGCAGGGTCATAATTACTACACGTGCGATATAAACTTACGGTCAAGGAAACGTCGTCAAGGGCGATATTGAATCGGTCGGCACGGCGGGCCAGGTTCTCTCGGACAAGACGGGCGACCATCTCTCGCTGGGTGATCAATTGACTGGCGTTGAATTGGGCAACTACGCTCTTCAACACCTCATTGACGATGGACGGGAGCACCCTCTCATCATAGTCTTGTCCTAGCGTCCTGTAAATCTGGGGTAGAGCCTCAACCTTGGGTCGAGAGAGGACACGACAGGTGATGTTGACCATCTGAAGATCCTTTGTTCCGGTGAGGGACGCAACGTTTCTCGGCTTCGCTCGGACGTTGTAGATGATGGGCGTCTCGAACCAGGGAATCATCAAATGGGTTCCTATTTGCATCTTTAGTATTTCAATGCGCTCAATGGGGCCGGAAGGGAGGAGGGGGGGGAGGTATCGCATCCTTACCTTCGCCATAGATCTCCGGGCTAACACCGCTTATCCTTCGGTACTTGATCGCTCTGTGACCACCGTCCACGTTGAACAGGGCATTCTGAAAGAGGAAGAGACCGGCACCCGCAGCCGCAAGTCCAGCAATTCCGACTCCGAGCCCTCTTGCAGGTGGCCTGCCGCCAGCGCCGAAGCCTCCACGACCGGACTGCGCAACTTGTTGAAAGCGGCGGAGAGCCTCCTCCATTGGATTCCTTCCACCCGCCATGGTTAAAGTAGCTCTGAAAACAAGACCGGAGGGCGAGCGAAGGGGTGACTTTTTTTTCGTTGTCGGGTTGGTGATGAAAAGGTGTTGACCAAGCTCTGCTCAGTTGATCTCAAGCTCAGGCAATTTTCCAGAGCTTCAATGTTCTCGATTTGAGAAGGATTCTTGCTGACACATGTCTGGGGAAGCACAGATTATGTCATCAATACACTTGGCATACACGTGACTTCGCGTTAAATTGGCTCCTTCCCCACCATCACGAATCAGGCCTTGGTTGTAGTGTGTATTGTAACGGACGCGAAGAATGCTACGACTACCTGACTCCGCCCAGTAGAATTCCACGATAGGTTCTGTAGCCCAATCTCTGTCGTCCTTCTTCCTGTCCTTCGGCATGCAGCAACTGCAACCGAGCACCATCTGCGGCCCAGTAGGCCACTGGGGCCCTGGACCGAGGGACAAGAGCCGGGCACTACCCTCGACAGTCCCATTTGCAGTGATCAAAAGACTCGTTTCGTCAGATGTATCAAAGTAGGATTTGCTGTCCTGGTTAGGTCTCACCAATTTTTTCTTAGAGACACCTATGCTCCAACGGCTCGAGGACCCTGTTATAGAACCCGATACGCCATCCCAAGTACAGTCAGACGGCGTGAGCAAAAGCCGCCACCTCTTCATCAGCTAGCACGGTAGACAGTTTGGCACCAAATTGCCGTTTCTCTTCTGCCTCACGGACTAGCTTCACGTATTTAAAACGCATGGCAGTCTTGGCCTGGCTCTCGCCGGCAAGGTGGCCCATCCATAGCGGGGGGGACAATAGAAAGTTCCTTGTTAAACTCCACAAGCTCCCATGGCCCGACAATTGCGTTCTCCCAGTCAATCACCGACAAGACATTATGATTCAGATCAATAATGATATTGCTTTTCCAGAGGTCTGCGTAGATAAGCGGGAAGGGGCCGCTCTGGAATGGAAATGATGGAGCCAAGTCCTACAGTCTATAAGGAAACGACCAGACCGCCGAAGGGATTTCATCTACTAAGTGTGCTGGGGTTCTGGGCCGTATAGTTGCCTCACCGTAGCGAAACTTGGCCGTCTTGGCCCACGCCTCGATGTATTCTGCCGCCGTGTTGAACGGGTCCCCAAGACATGGGATAGGTCCAACGTCAAACTTGCCATCTCGGCGAACGATGGGTCCGATGTTAGAAAAGCGTACCAAGGCTATCTCGACCTGGATATCTGCGAGTGCTGCATGGAACTTACCCTTAAATTGGGCAGGTGTCGCTCCTCTGTGGACTCTCCAACCGCCGAAGGAATCCATAGCGGTGTCGCCCGGGACGAACTCTATCAGCATAAAGGTGACGCCGACGCCACTATCACCAGCAGCATCGTAGGCTAAAACTCGCGGAACGGGGATTTTAGACCACTGTCTGACTGCTTCCATAGTGTCCACTTCGTTCTATAGGCGTTGGCAAGATTTTGGTTTCGGCTGCCTTAGCTGGAGCCTGGCGATCCACTGGCAGCCATCTTTGAAGTTAACAAGCCTCACAACATGGAGGCCACCCATGTTGTACTCGGAAGAAAGCTGGCAAGTGCAATCAATCCCGTCCACTTGGCGTCTGGCATTGCTTGCATAGCGTTTCAGGGCATCCAAGTCCACGGGAGCAATATTTTTGTTCCGCTCGACGTCATCCTTCTTCCAGTTCAGCTCCCGGGCAGAAATTGAGGTGGCCATGGAAACATTGAATGGTCCGTTTTGGCTCGGTGTGGTCTAGAGGTGTGGGTGAACTGTGGTCTCGGTGTTGATGTGGTTTGGATTGCGGTGCTAAATCCGTGTTCAGTAGTTGTACTTCGTACTTCTCGAAGTACTTCGACACGGTGATACATTGAAGTACTGTGAACATGGATTTTTAGTGGCATTAAGTGCACTGTATCAATCTGAGGTGGGCACCTGGCGTGTTACTGTGTTACTGAGTTACTACTTCCTTGATCACTTTTAGGAGGCCACCCAGATTTCCTCCAACCTCTCTCATAGCCTACGCCGAGTGAAGGCATCAATTATTTGCTAGTGACTTCGCGCCTTCTTCCTCCAGTTAGTTTCCGATGTGTATTCTTCCCCATCCTTCCACCAGATGTCCTCATCATGGCACCACCGTCGAGCTCTAGGCGACCACCCAAGAAGTGGACCCCGCGAAAGCCCGCGTCTTCCAACTTTTCGAAAAAGGACGCGAAGTCGAACACGAGTATTTTGAGCTTCTTTAAGAAAGTTGAAACCGAGAATACCTTATTTTACGGCACGGACACGACCGCCGTTTTCGAGAAGAATGAATCTACAATTCAATACGAGGAGAAGTGCATGGAGGAAGAGGAGCTTGATGTGAGCGTGGACTCGCCAGGGACGAGATTGAAGAGGAGAAAATTAAGCCATGGTCAAGATGCCGAAGTCGAGGGCGCCCACGAACTATCCGTCGATGCGAATGTCCCAAATCGTGATTCGGAACCATCACCTGCGCACAAGAACCCCACTAACAAAACAGTGGGCGGCTTTGTCTTGGATTCTGATAGTGAAGACGAAGAGGAGAGTGATATGCCGGTGTTATCTAAACAGAAGAACACAGAGCAAACGACAGAGGAAGAACTGCGCGAGACTTACATACCCGATGCGACCTCTGGTGATATTAATGATGAGAAGAAGCTGGAAGCGTTGGAAGCTTGCGAGGAATTCACTTCTGCGGTAGAGGGCGACAATTTGGAAGACCTGTCAGACGACTTCCTCGGGGAGGAATATCGAGAAATGATGTTTTCACAAGAGCAAGCTCGGCTTGAAGCCGAAGCCGCTGGCCTTCAAACGAACGACGACTTTCCCCCTACAGGACCTCCCGACGAGTCGATGATAGAGTCATGCCCCGTTTGCAACGGCAGTCTTGTTGGCGCCACTCCTGACGAGTCTACCCGTCATGTGAACTCGTGCCTCGACGGTAATCCGACGCCGTTACCGGCCCAGACGAGGGAGCTACCGACTCGTGAACCCCAACCAGTAGAGTCGGCGGTACCATCGAATTCCTCGGGAAGAGTCATGAAGGCTTCTATCCCGAAACCTGGGCAACGGAATCCATTCTCTCTAGCGGTAGAAGTGGAAGGCGTTTCAGCATTCGCCAAGATAATGTCTGGAAACGCCGAGAGCTCAGCGTGGGCAGTCGCTGCAGCAGCCGAGACCGCCTCTCGAGGAAAGCAAGCATACCAACGAACGTGCCCTTTCTACAAGATCATGCCCGGATTCTCCATCTGTGTTGATGCTTTCAGATACGGAGCCGTCAAGGATTGCAATGCCTACTTTCTCAGTCACTTCCACTCTGACCATTATATTGGATTAACGGCTAGTTGGAAACATGGTCCTATATATTGCAGTCGCGTCACGGGTCGCCTTGTTAAGCAGCAACTCAGAGTTGATGCGAAGTGGGTTGTTGAGCTTGAATTCGACGAGCTTTTCGAGATACCTGGAACCGGTGGAGCGACGGTGGTTATGATTCCAGCCAACCATTGTCCGGGGAGTTCGATGTTTCTCTTCGAAAAGAAGATGGCGAGAGGGCCGACTACTCGAGTCCAGAGGATTCTACATTGTGGGGATTTCCGAGCCTGCCCGGCTCACGTCACGCATGACCGCCTAAAACCCGATCTCCTGGACGGCGTCTCGGGCAAATTAAGGCAACAGCGGATAGATATTTGCTATCTGGATACTACATACCTGAGCCCACGGTATTCTTTCCCTCCGCAGAATGATGTGATCTCGGCCTGCGCCGACATCTGCTTGTCTCTAGATGCGGACGCCAACGTTTCGGAAGCCGCCTGGGACAAGCTTGGTAGGGAGTCCGGGACGACGACTGTCAGCCGATTTTTCAGCGTAAAGGAGAACAAAGAGAATGGCGATGCGCTGGCAGCTCCAGGAACCGGCTCCTATCGGAATCGTCTTCTGGTTGTATGTGGGACATATTCCATAGGCAAAGAGCGAATTTGCGTCGCCATTGCCAAAGCCCTAAACTCCAAAATTTTCGCGTCAGCCTCAAAGATACGCATGTTCAAGCTACTCGACGACCCCGAACTCTCCTCTCTATTGACCTCCGACCCGCGCGAAGCCCAAGTACATATGCAAATGCTGATGGAGATCCGGGCTGAAACTCTGCAAGACTACCTCAACGGCTACAAGCCACATTTCAGCCGCATCGTCGGCTTCCGTCCCAGCGGATGGAACTACAGACCCAACGGCGCCTCGAAGCTCATCTCGTCCAACACGCAACCGAGCAGCGTCCCCACAACGCAGGTGCTGCACGGCAAAGCCTGGCGGACGAGGTTCACAGCGGATAACCTGGAGAAGCAGAGAGGAAGCACCAAGGAGGCCATGTGCTTTGGGGTGCCGTACTCTGAGCACAGCAGTTTCCGGGAGCTTGCTCTGTTCTTGATGTCGTTGAGGATAGAGAGGGTTGTGCCAACGGTGAATGTGGGTAGCGAGACGTCGAGGCGGAAGATGAAGGGGTGGATAGACAAGTGGTTGGCTGATAGGGCCAAGGGAGGGGTGTTGAAGCCGCAACATGGGGATTCTGCGTTGGATGGTTCATCTCTTCAAGAATGGGATGGGAAGGGTACTAAACGGGATGTCCTTTGGTAAATATATAAGGGAAATGGAGGAGTACATAGACAGGTCACGGGAAAGCAATTGGGACTACAGGGCGTTTGGGAGGGCATTAATGCATCGAATGGCAAGGATTTGTTTCTTCATTATCATGAGATACTAGGCGTCGACCTTCGTGATAGAGAGTCCGTATCGGGAATCCAGTCAGAGGATTCGCCTTGCTTCACGACAGAACCTCGTAATCTCGTGTCCTGCCGGAAGAGAAGGTGCCGAGTGTTACGGCCCCAAAGACGGAGATGTCGTCCTTTTTGGCGGCCATCAAGCCGACTACTTCCATAAGCCTCATTTTTTGAACTTTTTTTGTAATAACAAAAAATTAGATTCAGCCCTCCACAACCTCATTTTGCTTTTGCTTGCTGCGCAGCAGCCTCTGGAGAACAAAAGGGTCAGTAAATCATCGAACAAGTGAGAATTTCGAGTTTGAAACAACTTACCTCTCCTTGTAGCATCTTCTAGAAGGGGAATATCGACGGCGTTGGGAGGGAGGTGGACGTATCTGACGACAGAGCCACGGATGAAGACGTTCTTCACAGAGCTCTGGAGCACGTCATTAGCTCCGTCTCATAATCTCTCATACCTCACGACTCGAAGCCCAAGAGTAAAAAGAAGAGGGGAAAATAGCAGAATCTGCTGCATATCCAGGACGTCGAGAAGAAGAAAACAACTGACCAGGTGAGGATACAACAGCTCATTCACCACCGAAATATCATCAAGCTTGATATTCAGATACTGATCCACGCTCTTCAGAGTACCCCTGATCTGGATATCATTCTTGAGCTCCACCGTGACCTCCTGGTCAATTAATGTTTTGAAGAAGCTATATTCCCGCGTTTTTTTATCTCCTGTTAGCTCACCACCTTTTCAAATGACATCGATGAGCTTGAGAGATCCCATGGCGGGGATCTAGAATGTGATATTAAGTGGGGTCTCACCTGAAGAAGAGCATCGTAATTATAGAATATATTTGGCTCTCAACTTTCGGCCTGTCTCTTCACGCGCAAAGTTGGATTATAGTCCCGTGTAGAAGCAAGATAAGACCTCGTCGTGCTTCTCGTCGTTCAAGGCGTCCTTCATTGCTGTTGATGATGCTCCCAAGATTCTGGTTGCAAGTTCGAATCTGGGACACGTGACCAAACAGTGACAGTGTGATTACTGGACTACAGACTGTATCCGTCTTCCTATCTTCAAGAGATGCATCGGTCGTGAGGATGAAAACTACATGTAGTTCGCCGGTGTATATTCTATTTACTTCTGACTGAGGAAAATGAAAAGAAGAGCCACCCAGAAGGAATATTTAAGCAACATGTACAAACGCCCTCTTCCGCACATTCTCCTCCCCAGCATCCCAGTTCTCATCCACGTACTCCTTAACACTATTCTCCTGTATCTGCATACCCATAATCTTGAGCGCCGCCACATTGTAACCCATCTCATCCTTGTTCCGCTTCAGCGCCGCCCTAAGATTTGCACGGATGCCCTCGAGCATGGTCCTCATGGTGCGGTTCGCGACGATCTGGCGATGGTGAGTTTTGAGCATGAAGAAGAGGATGCGGCAAGTAAGGGGGATGTTCATAGATCGCATGGCGAAAATGTTGATAAAGGTAAAGAGGGCGGGGACCATAGAGAAAGGAAGGACGAGGAGTGCGTCATGGAGTGCCGCCGCTTTAATCTTCTGGAGAACGCTCATGACGTGGGCCTCGGCGCTGATGTTGCCCAGCGCCATGTATACAATGTTTCGCTGGGGCGCGGGCGCCTTGGGGTTCGTCTGCTTTTCGTCTTCCCACTCCTTGAGCAGGTTGAGATCCGCCATGCCCATCTCGAGGGCCTCGACGATTCGCTCTCCTGCCATTAGCGTTTCGACGGTCTGCTTGCCGGCCGCCGCCGTCTCGGCCTGCTGGTCCTGGGCGTCGTCGTCCTTTTCCAGCGAAGCCGTGAGCGTGCTCTCGTAGAGTTCTTCTATTTCCTTCTCCCTCTCTTCCTCCAGGAAGATCTGCTCTTCCGTCTCGTCCCAGACAATCATGCCCTTGTCGTGGCCGGCGCTGACCAGGAACGTGCCGCTGTGGCCCACCGCCAGCGCCCACACCTCGCCGTGGTGGCCGTCTAGCCTTTGAATCTGCTCAAACTTGTCGCCGTCCCAGTATTTTATGGTACGGTCCTTGCTGCTGCTGAAGAAATGGTGCCCATTGCCGTCCGAGTTATGCGGCACAAACGCAACTTGGAGGATACTGTCCTGATGTCCAAACAAGGCCTTGTGGCAATCACCAAAGTCTAATCCCCATATCCTGATGTTCTTGTCGGCTGAACTCGTCACTATCAACTTACTATCGTATGAAATATCCATACTTAGAACAGGAAGTTTATGGCCATAGAGGTTGAGGTATAGTTTAAGCGTGTCGACAAAGAAGACCTTCACAGTGTTATCGAGAAGGGCCACAGCAATGAGCCGAGCATCCGGTGAGAACCTAATGCTCAAAACATCATCCGAGAGTTTGAGAATCTTTGACTGGGCGAGTTTCAGTCGCGGCGTCGTGCGGCTGGTGCCCAAAATGGTCTCTTGGACGATCTGGAAGTTCCAGAACTTGACCGTCTTATCAGCGCTGCCGGATGCCATCGACCGACCATCGGGGTGGACCTGGAGCGACCAGACGGCTCCGTCATGGGCCGTGACACTATCCAACAGGCTCGCCGAGGCGACATCGAATAGTTGCAGCTCACCAGCTTTGGTTCCCACAACGACAACCTTGTCTCCGGGGAGAAAAGCACAGCACAAGGCGTAGCCACACTCAAATGTGCGAATACACATCTGCGTTTTGATATTCCAGATCTTTAGGCTTCCGTTAGCTGCCGACGCTAGCATTTTGTCATCAGAGCTCAACGACAAGGCCCGAACGTCGGCCCTGTGACCCGGGAGCTCGACTGCCAGTGACCTCGTGTAGTCGGGAACCTCATCTTTCGACTTGGATGATTTATCCTTGGGCGGAATGTTGTAAAGCTCGACCTGGTTATTGGTCGTGCCGATGAGCACTTGGAGGTCCTTGACACCAGTGTTGACGGCCCAGTCCACCGAACGAACCTTTCCACTCGTGCGAACAGTCACGTAGTGTACGAAAACGTCCGCTACGGTTGCGCTAGATATATCCTCGGCGTCCTCGGCACCCTCAACGTCCGCATCGCCGTTGGCCTTCTTATCCAGCTTCTCCCTCCTCCTTCTGCGCTTACGGGCTAACACCTTTTTGATTTCGTTCTCGGACCTTATCCGCCAAATTTCGACGGCCTTTTCGGGACCGTGGACGGCGAAGTAGTCGCGGCGGGGATGGAAGACAATTTCGGTGGCTCGGTCGTTGGATTTCCGGGTGAGTGTGCCGCGGTCCTGGAGAAACTTTGTGGGCTGCGTCAAGTCGACTCGCTGGGCAGACGCGGCTAGGGATAACGTATCTAGAGACCAGACCTTGAGCTCACCTCCGTTACCAGCCGTGACGCAGCCGCTGTAGTCGGGAGAAAGGCCCAAGGCCCAGCACTCTCCGTTTGATTGCGCAATGTGAGTCTCGATGCAATGCCTTGACGACAAGTCCCACAGTTTAATCAGGGAGTCCTTTCCGGTAGTGAGGAGAAAGCCTTCAGCCTCGGTCTCGGTATCCACCACCATCGCTTCTGGGTCCTCATCGTCGCGAACAACAGGATCAGGCTCGACAAAGCGCACACCAGTAACCTGGTCCTTGTGCCCGCGCAGCTTTACCTGACCAACCTCGGCGACGAGATCCCATATGATGATGTCGGTATCCTTGGAACCGCTCGCTAGGCGGGCGCCGGATTTGTCGAAGGTGAGGACGGTAACGGCGGAGCGGTGGCCATTGAAGCTGACGATGGTGGCGGCAATCTTGCTGTCCCAGAGGCGAATGCTGCCATCTTCGTATCCGACGGCAAAGATGTCGGGGTCGGCCTTACTCCTCGCAATAGCGGTCACGGGAGCGGAACATCGGTCGTCCCTCCAACGGCTGACGAGTTCACCCTTCTTGATGTCCCAACATAGTACCTGCTCGTTCGCAGCAACGAGAGCCTGACCAGCTCCGGTTCCCGCTCTTTGGTTCGGGGTCCAGACAATGTTCGAGGTGCTCGAGGCGACGATACCGAAGGACTTGGAATACTCGTATTTTCTGCAGGGGGTAGGTAGTTATGTTAGGGCACGCGACGGAGACAAATAATCATGTGAATAACAGGCACTCACAAATATGATTTAACCATTGTGTAGTACCCCTTCTAGATATGCGTGAGATGCCCTACCGGCTTCTCAATCGCAAAAATTAAATCCTGGAGTCGAAGCGGCCAACTACTTTTCTGCAAGACATCGAGAGAGTCAAGTCTGCGTCCCGTCTTAGACGAATTTTTTTGGCTGGGGAATCAAGTGGGCTTATCTTATCCGTTATCGATAAGAGTGACAGAGACGAAGGTACAAAGTACTTGCACACTGTGCTCGCTGTAAGAAATTTGATTTGCCCTCCTTCCCTGTTTGGGGGCAGGTGGGGGTACACATTTCAGTTGGCATTTGGACTTGTCCGGTCGCCCCTCCGCGATGTTAGACAGCCCAAATCGTACTTGATCTGCCCTCTCGCTGATCTGTTCCCAGTACACCAGTTAAGGTCGTTGTATGCCGAAAAGCATCATACTTTATGTACCATTAAGCCGATGGATCAATTGTTTTCAATATTTTGAGGCCGTCAAATCAAATCAATCAATTGACCCAACTTCATGAGTTCAATGTTGTGAGCAACACCGCTTCAGGGCTCGATCGGGCACCGCTGAGGCCCATCGCCAATTTCGTCTCATCCCTGGCTGAGGACCACGATCCATGTCAATGCGAGCCGACAATTGAGGCCCCCGATGGTTGGAATCTTATGGTCAGGCGGCCAATCCTACCAACCAACCCCGAGACCAGGGGTGGCTGAGCCTAAGTTGCAAGCTTATGGAGTAATATTCCGGGGTAATATCGTCGCCGTGTCACCAGTGGTCACTATGGACAGGGCTCTGTTGTCTCTTTGAACGTCTGCCAGAGAATAATTTGATCAATTCAATGTCGACATTTATATCCACTCTTGTTTCCATCCGTTTTCCTGTCAACGCCTCTCGTCGAATTCCGCTTTCTTACCTCCCGCATTCCCACGCATCAGTATTCATACATTAATTCCTATCACTGTCATTTTGTTAACAGCTTGCCTTGTTTCGCGTTTTTCGTCGGTGCGCTGATCTGGAGTATGGTATTTCCTGCGATCCTCACCCTCTTCCTGTTCCAGACAAGGTGAAGGGACTAAAAAGAGAGACGGTTCCTGTACAAAATAATGTCTAGCTCTGTTGGTTCTTGAGAGGAAATCTGGTCTGTAGGCCGAGGACACGCTCGAGATGACCGACTACGTTGGGATTGGAGGCTCAGACCTCTTTTCCTTCGACAACAAGGTTGCGCTTGATAGCCATATTTTGTATGACAACGAAGCTCGGTCCAAGATCGAGTACGACGAGTATGTGGTATACAAGCGGCAATACGACATGCTATTAGGACACTCTGCAGAGGAGCATCGTCAGAATCATGTTGCCCACAAGATCAGCCACGACGACAAGGAGGGCGCTGATATGTTACACGGCGCCTTTCGAGAAGGCAAACTCGTCGACCGCAGTGTATGTAAGAATCCTACCCGTCCTCGAATTGCCTTGCCATGTCACCATCTGCCACGCCTCGTTGATCCCAGGGGCTAACTCTAATTCACTTCTGCAGGGAAGGTTCGTTCGTCTTGGGGCCGATGATGTTTCCTACAATCCGGAGCTTCTTGAAGGCCGAGTTCGTCGCGTGTAAGTGACTCTAGGCCATGCATCTCATGTTGAACCGGACCACCCCAAAACTTTCGTATATTCATACACGGCTCTAGTTAACGACGACACTAGTATCTGCTACCGTCTCGTCAGGTCCCCGGATGGTAGCCAGGATGGTCTCTCTCTGAGTCGCACTGACTTCGAGGTCCTGAAGCTTCATCCAGCTACCCTTCAGTATTCTCGCCGGACCACTACCGAGTCTCGCTTCTGGTCCAAAGACCGGTCTCTCTTGAGTGTTTTACTGTCCTTTTCGTTGAACGCCAAAACCCCGTATGATTTCCTCTCCATGACTTACGATGTCAACACTCGGTGTTCGACTATCCTCGTACGCCAGTCCTACCACCCTAGGCGGCATCGTTTGGAAAGTCTAGACGAGTACGACCACCGCATGGAAGCCTGCAAAGCGCACTGGGCTCACCCCTTCGTGACACCAGTTGTGCTGCTTCAAGTTCACTTCCTCCGCACCGAAGAAGCAGTTGGGGTGAACAACCACAACGTGACCGACCTCGAGACCCGGGTATCGAACATTGCCGGCTTCGAAGCAACGGCCGCCACTGAAAAGAGTTCCTCATGGAAGCGGCGTTGGGGGAAGTTGAGCAAAGATCGACCCCAGGACGAAATCGTCGACGGTGCGGACGACGAGGCGCAGACCGCCGGTGTCATGAGCATGACAAACCTTATGAAGAGCGCCCATGGGGTGTTGAAAGAGTGCATTCAATTGCTCGATGCCATTCGGTGGACCGAGCGTGCCGTCAAAACTTTGATCATGGCGGGGGATGAGTTGGAAGAGCGGATGTCCACGGGACAAATTATTCGACCGGGATCTTTAGCTCCCAGGAGCGTTCACCCAAACGAGGACCAGGACCAGCCGCCCCGAAGCCCCAACCCAAACGACGACCCGAGGAGAGCTGATTCTATGCCGCATCTTTTCCTTCCCCATCACACATCCCCCGACGATCCCTTGGGCAGTCATTGGCATGAAATCCGGCAATACCTCGAAGGGCTATTGAGAATCTGTATGAGTCTGGAGACAGAAAGGCGCATGTCGGAGGCCAGATGCCGGGCGCAGATTGATATAGTAAGTCAAGGCTTTTATACTTACGCACTTGCGAGATATTATAATGAAGGATCGCTAACTTGGAGATCTATCTATAGATATACAGTAAAATGGCCCAGGAAGACAACGTTCTAAACGCTCGCATGGCCGTTGCCTCGTCACGGGATAGCTCGTCAATGAAAGCCCTTGCCGTCATAACTGCAATCTTCCTCCCCGGCGAGTTTCTTGGGACCCTCTTCGGCATGTCCATGTTCGACTGGATGCCCGAGAAGGATGATGCGCCCAGCCCGGATGGTGCACCACCGACCATCGAAGACGACGACGTTATTAGTCGAAGATTTTACATATATTGGCTCATCGCCATCCCGCTAACTCTCTTTATCCTCACAGCATGGCGCGGCTGGTGGGTTACCGAGGACCGCTTCTTCCGCAGGCACCTCTCAAAGGAGCTCAGCGAGGAGAGATACTGGACCGTCGACGGTAAGCCGCGCGTGCTCGAAAATTCCTTCATACATGACTTTTTTCGGTTATCCGCCCGCTTCGACGAGAGAATACCGAAGCCGAAGAACAACGGAAAGCAAAAGGAGTTAAAAGTCTTGGATGCCGAGGCTGGGATAGTGCCTCCTTCTTCTCAGGTCGATTTCGGGAGTCCACCCAAGGACGGGGAGTCTTTGCGGCAGAAGAGGTCGCTATTCGTTAGGAGGGAGAGTTATCTGTTACACCGCCGACCTTCGCAGCCGGCGTAATGTTGAGTCGTGGATGCCTAGTTGACACACTTGCTTTGCGAGTCTTGGTTTTACTTATACTTTATGATTAACGGGCTTTTTGGCTTTCTTGCTTCAGCCAAGCGCTCTATCAGCATTCATAAAGAGCGACTATCTTGTGGATTGCATTACTTTCGCACTCATATCTATATTCGTTTCAGCCTAGTACAACATAGATACTTACGATAATACCATTGAGTACGCAATCATTCTTGGTCATATTAATGAAATCTCACCCTCAAGCCCATGTATTTGTGAGCCCGTGTCGTTGAGTAAGCGCCCTGGCGGACCATCTAGGTTCTCGGCTCTACTTAGTCATAACCTTAAATAGAGATCAATGATAAATGGATATTCTAGGGTTTGGATATTCTCTTCCCATCAAGTAAAAGCCAGGCGGATGATAAAAGTTGAGGAGATGTGGTGCTAGTGATATGTTTGGCATGTGTTAGTGGGCGGGTAATTCTCGGAAGTTTGTTCCTACGGTGTTAGCTCCAAATACTTGAATGGGCAAGACCACTGGTCACTACAAATCTTAAATCATCACAACTTCACCTCGAAACCATCGCCCTCTGCTCAAAACCATCTCAAATTTAACGCCGACAGCCATAAAAACTCCACTGTGGTACACATACAAGCCTCCTAACCGACCAAAGACTACAACCCGGAGACCAGAAATAAAAACAGAAAAAAAAAAATGGACTACCAAAACCGCGCCGGCTCCAAATTCGGCGGCGGCGGCGTCGCCTCCCGCAGCGCCACCAACGCCGACCGACGCGAACGCCTCCGCAAAATCGCCCTCGAGACCATCAACATCGAAAAAGACCCCTACTTCTTCAAGAACCACGTCGGCTCCTTCGAGTGCCGCCTCTGCCTGACGGTACACCAGAACGACGGGTCGTACCTGGCGCACACGCAGGGAAAGAAGCACCAGACCAACCTGGCGAGACGAGCGGCGCGGGAGCAGAAGGAGGGGAGGGGCCAGAACATCGATCCGGCGACGGGGTTGCCCGTGGGCGTTGTGGCGGGGATGACGGCGAGGAAGAACCTTGTAAAGATTGGACGGCCGGGGTATAAGGTTATGAAGTTGAGGGATCCGGTGACGAGGCAGGAGGGACTACTGTTCCAGCTGCAGTATCCGGATGTTACGCCTGAGGTGACGCCGCAGTGGCAGGTTATGAATGCATTTACGCAGCGCGTGGAGGAGCCGGATAAGAACTTTCAGTATTTGCTCGTGGCGGCGGAGCCGTACGAGACTGTGGGGTTTAAGATCCCCGCGAGGGAGTTGGATAAGAGGGAGGAGAAGCAGTTCTGCTTTTGGGATGTCGATGCGAAGGAGTATTGGGTGCAGATTATGTTTATGACGGAGCGCGAGGAGAGGTTTAATGCTGCGCCTGGATTGACGGCCAGGAGGTGATCGGGCAAGGGGAAATACTATGGGGGCTTTGACTTACATTGTTTGAATCGGAAAGCAAAGGGCGTTTAGGAGATTTGGAACTTGGCATTACGGGAAAAGAATTAGTCGGGGATGTTGAAGACAGCCTTGGAATGTATGGACAGGCACATAACCTCATCTGGTGGCGCCCTCAACGATGATGCGAAGGATGTGATACCCACGCTGCTAGAATGCTAGGAAAGACAGGATAATAAACCCAAGCGCCAAAAGGCTTCGAGATACCTCCATGGACAGTCGTCAATGAGATGCGACGGGCGAGTCTGTATTGCTTTCAAATAAACTACCATCCTAAGTGATAGACTGGACGTCCATCCATCACCATACTTGTCGCCCATCTTATTTTCACCTAGTGTCACCGCATGCAAGCCTAACAAGGATCATGTTCAACATAAATGCATCCATCATCTGATAGCCATCGCTCATTATGCTATGTACTTCCTCGCACTTCTCCGCTAACCGAGCTCCACAACATTCCTCTCTTTTAAATGCCGCCTCTCGCCAAAGGCCAGGTTTCCCATCATCGCCTAGGCTTCTCCTCCACTTTTGGCAGTGAATATCACACTCATCAGCGTACACGAACATCGCCTGGCACGCCACAGTTCTCTATCACCATCACATCCTCAGCTTCGATCCAACATCAACCATGGATTCCGTCGCCTGCAGACAAGCATCCCATCCGATACGAACAACTCTCAAGACACGTGAAACTGGAAGGGAAGCAAAATGAGAAGAGAAAAGAAGAGACATTATTCGAGAAAAACTAGCTTCTTGAAACCCAACAGGCAAGACTGTGAATGCTAACAGTTATGGACGAGAACTGGATATATAAGTTGCACCAACATCACTTTAAGCTAGTGCCAAAAAAAATCTGAAGACAAGAGGAAAATGGGATGAATAGGAAAAGGTAAAGCTTGTGCGACAGGAATGCAGGTTCAAGAGAAGACCCTTAAGACTGAGGCCTGGGATAGCTACTTTTTCGCCCATCAAGAGCCATAACACGCAACACTGCAAGACCAAGCTCAAAGAGCCCGGGGTGATTCGAGATAACAAGGGTGGAAAACAGTTCTGCACAACACCCGTGCATCATCTAAAGTTGGTATCGAATCGCTTGAAGGTGTAACCGATAAAGGGCAAGCTCATTTCCGGAGCCTCCTCGACAGCCGTCCGGCCCTGCTGGATGGCCTGCGCCTTTAATAGAGTCGCGTTGTCGGTCTGGTCGATTTCGTCGGTAGGGAAGTATGTAGTGTCGATGTTGGAGGTGAGTCGCGGTTCGAATGGTGCGCGGATACGGCGAAGGCTCTCGAATTCAACACCACGGAAGAAGGAATGGTTCTTGATCTCATGAGCTCCTCCTCGTCCGAGTCGGTTTTCACTGTTGCAGATGAGACTAAGAAGAGGAAAAGAAGATAATGTTAGCGATTAGACTCTCATAAATGTTACTGATAGGACCCGAAACTCACTTTCTGATCAAGCTGGAAGATTCGTCGCTCAGATGGATATCATCAGGGAAGTACAGAGTCTGTCTCCAGTTGACAATCTTCCTATAAGTGTCGTGATGGTCCTCGGCGCAGAATGGGGGCCAGCCAACTAAGCATTCAAACATGATGGTTCCCAGACTCCACCAATCGCAGTCGAATGAATAGCCGTGGCCGGTGAAGATCTCAGGAGCGATGTAGTCGGGAGTACCGACTGTAGAGTAGGCCATCAGGCGACGAGACCGCCTCCAGTCGTTGATCTGCGAACGGTTGCTAACTGTAAGGTTGATCTGATCGATCGCGACGGAGTTACGGTCACCTCGCGGCCGCGTAGATCGGCCCTGGAGAAGCTGCTGATAGTAGGTATTGTCATGCAACCTGTGGAAACCGGTGGAGAGGCCAAAGTCGGTGAGCTTGACGTGACCGCCACGGTCAAGGAGAATGTTGTCGGGCTTGATATCACTAAGGGGATAATAGAATTAGCCACGACGAAGTGATTGGTGCGTGGGGGTCCAAGATTTATCGGCGTAAGTAGGTAGTCTTACCGATGAATGAAGCCAAGCTTGTGGACGGCCTCGATTGCAAGGACAATCTCAGCAATGTAGAACCGAGTAATGTCCTCGGAGAAGATTTCGTACTTGATAAGCATAGTCATCAAGTCTCCACCAGGGAGGAACTCCATGAGCATGTATAGGAAGTAGGCGTCCTGGAAGGTGGTGTAGAGTTTTACGACCCAGGGGCTGTCCGATTCGGCCAAGATGTCTCGCTCGGATCGCACGTGGGCAAGTTGGTCCTTCTTAAACATCTCAGTCTTGATCAGGGACTTCATGGCGTAAACCTTGCCATCGGCCTTCTTCTGGACGAGCTTGACTTCACCGAACGCTCCCTTGCCGATAATCTTGATGGTGTTGTAGTTTTCGGGCTTATCCTTAGTTCTTAGAAAGCGCAGGTATTGACCTTCTTTCCGGCCGTGAGTCGCCCAGAGTTGCTCGCGTCGTGAAGGGGGCTGGTTGGGATCCTGAAGTTTCTGTTCAAGCTCGCTCTGCCTGCACGAATATTGAAGAGAGCAAGTTAGTTTAACACATTTGGCAAAGGCAGGCGTCTGTTGGGCTGCGAGGCACGAAAGGGGATGGCGCAACTACGCAGGGGCCGGTTGTCCTCGTTGGACAGGAGGGAGTTGTTGCCATGATCCAACTCACCTTTGATTCCTCTCCCTCGCACGCTTGACGCTGTCCCTGAAGAAATCGGCAGCCAGCTGAGAGCATCGCTTCTGGTTGTTGTTTGCATTAGGACCGTACTTGTCCGGGTTGCGTTCCGGGGCGATCTGGAACTCGTTGGCGGGGGCGGGGTTCTGAGACGGCATCGGAGGGGCATTCATGTAGCCTCCATAGGCAGGCTGGCTGGGGGCACCAGCAGTCCGGGGACGTTGAGACCCGGCAGCAGCGCCATACGGGTTGGATCGGGCACCGCCTAGCTGAGAGAATTGCTGGGCAAGGCCGGTGTTAGGGTCGTTTGTGCCAGGGGTACCAGAGCGTTGTTGGTAGGCAGGATTCTGTGCAGAGGCATAGGCGGGAAGGGCCTGCTGGCCTTGATATTGCTGTTGATATTGGCTTTGGACGAAATAGTCCTGCTGGCTGTAGCCCGAGTAGCCTTGCTGAGGGGGATGCAATCCCCCCGCCTGCTGGGCTGGCTGCTGCGACGAGAAGACAGGCTGGGGGAAGGTGGATGGGGTCGTGGGGTATGTTCGGTCGGGAGCTGCCAATCGCTCGTTATTGTTCCCAAAATTGAGAAAAAGACGGTTGTTGTTAGTATTCCCGTCCATTTTGACTCGAGGGTCTAGCCGTCCCGATTCTGCTGCGTTGGGCTGATGGGATTGTCTCTGTTATCGTGAGAGGGCGGAGGGGGGGAAACAGCACGAGGATTTCGAGGGGCTCGGGCTTTTAGAGGGACGAGCCTGGAACCTATGCCCGAAGCCTCTCCTATAGAAGTAGTCGAAGGTGGTGTTGTGCGGGTCGTTCAAGGCACAGGGGGTTTCCACTTCAAAGGGGGAGGGGGTTAGATAGGAGGAGTGAAGGAGCACTCGGTTCTCCTGCCAGCTCCGTACAAATGCCAAGTCTTGACAGGATGCGAGTAATTAATTTTCCAGAATTATCGCAACTCTGGAAGGGAGCACGTAAATAGCTTCGAGTATACTTTGGGCTGAACCTGACTGTCGAGATTTCTCCCCAGGGTTGATAATAACGAGTTCAGGTTGTGAAAAATCGGTGCTAAATTGATTGGTATTGGTGCTGTGTTTGGAGCTAAATTTGACGTATCGGTTGTACCTTGTAGTGGACCAGAGTGGAAGATAGTGTAGGTAGGCTCAGGGGGCGGTGATGTTGATGTTGGCTGCTAGCAGCCTAGCAACCAGTAAGGAGCCGGCTAGTTTTGATCCAAAAGAATAGAAGATCAATGTGTTGCTAAAAGCGATCGGGGTTTCTTCAATGTTGTCTTGGACGGATGGATCGTTCTGTTTTCTGAGGGAAGAAGAAACTGTTCGTACAGGGCAGGAGGGAACTTCGGAGATTCTACCCCTTCTCTCAAGGAAATTAGGGGAATAACCTCGAGCTCAAGTCTAACGGGAACAAGGGTCCTCGAGGCTTTTTGACTCCGGAAGGGTCTGTGATTAAGACAGGGTGAGTGTGTGTTGTGTGTGTGAGCCAAGGAGGAGGAGGAGGGGGAAAATGCTACATCAATTAACAATGTACTTCGTGCAAGGATCCATGTACTTCGACTGTGGTGCACTTTTACCTTCTCCATTTCCCCCTTTTGGGGAGCTGTTTCCTCCAGAGCGGAACCTTAGTGGTCAGATCGGGCCAGCCTTGGTCCAGGACTCCAGATCCGTCGATTGATCCAAGCCTGCCCAAGTCGTTGCCAGGCAGGTTGCCAACTCCCTGACGCCGGTATCCACTATTGTGGAATTGTGGGAAGACTCGAGTAACACTCCGTGCTCCAACTGATCGGCTTCTCTACTTCGTACAAGTATCTCTCCGTGCACGAGGCAATGAGACAACGCCAACGAGACGGCGAGACAGAGGAATGGGTCGTGGACCACGTAAGGAGGGGATTGGGTCCGATGAAGGACAAGAGCACCACTTAGAACTCAAGAATGCGCAGTTGATCAAGCCAGTCGATGGTCCTTCTATTACCTCATCACCAATCGCCCGCGCCCTCAACGGCTTGCCATAACATTTATACACAATCAACGGCCCATCAAGAGCCCAATTATATTACCGGCCCGAAATCAGAACACTCCATTCGACATCTCCCTTGAGTTCCCGGTCACCAGCGTCTAGGAACCGCCTGTGTTAGGAACTGATATTTAGGAACCGAACTGGGGGAGCAGCAACAGCCAGGCCACCCGGCGATTTTCAAATTCCCAAATGTTGCTGTCCATTTTCGTCTGACGCCCTAATTCCTAACGATTCCTAACAACTCCTAACACACATTGAGGTGCGGTGCACGAGCTCCCCATACTTACCTATACGGCCCTTCCCTGTGCAGATCGAAACACGCTGTGGCTGGTCACATCACGGCCTTTTCACTCGTCAATTGACCTGAGCACCATGACTCTGCTAGGCTTTGCGAAGTAACAGACCAACAAATGATCTCTTCTTGCCCCAGAAATGGCCACTCTACAGGGCCGTTCTAGCCTAAATTCACCGCGCCGTCAACGCCGCCATTTCCAGGTCTTCCGGGCGGTCAGCAGCGTTCTCCAGCATTGGAAAGGGTGCATGCATAGAAACGGGATGGAAGCTAATCTGGAAGCAACCGTTGAGGATCCACGACTTGGGGCGGAGCGCCCAACCACGCGAATGGGATCGATAGCCGACAGCTGTTGTTCAATGTTGCATCCGAACCTCGTGCTCTTGCTGCTTCTGGCATACCGCCACATGGGCTCTTGCCTGTCAACCCAGCGAAGCGAAAACGAATAAAGTGGAAATTCGCCAATACACCGTAGAGTCCAGACACAACCGGCTACTGCAGTCAGTGTTGCATACGGCCTTGGGTTCGAATGAGCACGACGCATGGCACAGCGGCATCCGATAGTTCACCCGTGGCGGTGTGCTTTACCACCTGCCAATACCACCCGTCGTCAGAATTGATATTGTTTGGTTTCAGGTCAAGGATTTGCAACACTAAATCACGAGCTTGGGTGATCCGAAATCAAAGTGGATCGGCCCTCGTCATGCTCGTTGCGATAATCACCTCTCCACACAGTGCCAGATGGAGAACTTTCGGCACCAGCTGGCAACTTTGGCTCTTAGCTGTCAGCAAGTGTAGCTGATAAGAACCGATAAAGGAAAATACGGACCAGAGAGAAAATTATTCGCGTTAGCCCATCCAACCTTGGTAAAAAGCTCGATTCCATCTTGACGAAAGATCGTCGACCACTCTGGGTCTCCCTCGAAACTTGAATATCCTTAGCTACATCGCAAGTGCACCATCGTCCGGCTTTACGAGCCCCTGCAGTTTCCATTCAGTTCCTCGCCGAGTGAACTTCCTCCGGAATGGCTGACCCGAAGCCGCCCGCCGAACCCGTAAGACAATCAATACTCGGTTTCCTATTTCCCTCGATCCTCACTAACAAAATCCAGGCGGCCGCGGCCGGCGCTGCAGCACCTTCGGCGACCGCCTCCGCCTCCGCGACGTCGGGCGCATCTTCTGCCGCAGCCAAGGCTGCGAAACCGGCTGGCAACCCTGCCCTCCGAATGCTCGGCCTCCCCATGCTCCCCAAGAAGCTACCATCGCGCAACTGGATGATATTTTGGGCCATCACTACGAGTCTGTCCGCCGCCATCATCTACGACAAGCGAGAGAAGAAGCGCGCTACCGCAAAGTGGGCGCGTGCCGTATCCCACCTCGCGCAAGAGCCTCTCAAGAATCCCAACGAGTTGCCCCGCAAGATCACTGTATTCCTCGAGAGCCCACCTGGCGACGGCTTGCGCGTAGCGCAAGATCACTTTATCGAATACGTCAAGCCCATTCTCCATGCTTCGGGCATCGACTGGGAGTTTGTCCAGGGAAGACAGCAAGGAGACGTGAGAGCCGCTGTGGCTGAGAAGATACGGCGGCAGAGGAAGGCACACGAGAGGCCGGAAGAGGACATTCTTCCTACGAATGACAAGGCCATATTGGAGTCCAGGGAGAGGAGTGGCATTCCCGAATACGACGGCATTAAGGGTGACCTTGTTGTCGGGAGGCATACCTGGAAGGAGTACATTAGGGGGTTGCACGAGGGCTGGCTAGGCCCTCTTGATCCCCCTGCACTTCCAGAGGCTCCTAGTGCCCCCGAGCCTGTTCAGCCTCCACCAGTGGAAGTCCTAACTCAGGAACCCAAGGAGGAGAGCAAGACCGACGGCGGCGCAGAGGCGAAGAAGGAGGAGCCCGAGAAGAAGGAAGAAGAGAAGAAAGAAGAGGATAAGAAGCCGAAGCGGCCGCCTCAACCTCCCCCGTACAACACGACAGCAGACTATGAGTCTTCGAGCATTCCTCTCCGCATCCCCCACGAGTTCAACCCCTCAGCGCCGATCGAGTTCCCCCATGTTCTTGGTTTCTCGAATACCCTGACCCGATTCAAGTGGTTCCTTAACCGCCGCAAGCTGGCAGACAATATCGGCCGAGAAGTGGCCGCCGTATGTTTCGCCGTTTCACGCGACTGGCCCGAGGATGCTTCGGGAGAGTACCCTCAGGTACACGCCCTAGAGCAGGAGGAGCGTAACTGGGTCAAGAGTGTCTGGAAGGACGATCCCGAGGAGAAGAAGGACGACAAGAAGAACGAAGAGACCAAGTCTGAGCCTCAACGCCCCAAGGAGAAGATTTGGCCGACTGCTATCGTGACGGATCCCCGTATCATGTCGCGTATGAGGAGGTTCGAGCTCCTACCCGAGGACGAGGCGAGATCGAAGGACGTCGTCGTTCCCGAAGAAGAGATTGAGGGCTGGATTAAGGGGAGTTTCCGTCAGCTCTTCCGATGGGGCGCTTCGCAATGGCAGGGAAAACACTTCACTCCCAACGTTGGGGACATTAGCAATGAGGAGTAGAGTGTGTCTGGGGTTAGAAGGAGGCTTTGGGTTATTTGCATACACGCTTCCGCTATTCCGCAGTGTAACTATATCAGGCAGGAAAAAGATGTGAGGGAAAAACACGGGCTTGCATGGATTGGACAGCCTGTATATGTACCAATAGATTCCACCCCCTCGTGTAATACGGAGTTTTCGACGGGGTTGCATATAGACTTAGACGTGGCTGTCCATGATAGAGAATCGAACTCCTATTCTAATTTCATCATTCATCGTCATCGTCATCAGACCCATAATCTACAAGTCCGCCAAGCTTTGGCTTCGCTGGAGCACTCGGCACCGCCTTCTTCGCCTCTTCCTCCGTCTTGCGTTTATCCCCGACCACCGGTGCCTTGGGCCCTTCCCTAATCTCCTTCGCCTTGACCACTTCCTCTGATCCGCTAACCCTCCTCCTAACACCCTTAACAAGGCTATCCTTCTCCTTCGCCCTCTTCCTCTTCCTACCCACCTCCCAATCTTCCCCGATCTCTATCGCATCCTCCTCTTCCTCCTTAGAACCACTCTTCTGAGCCTCCCGAAAGACCTTCAACCCTTCTTCAGTCTCCCTCCTAAGCCTTTCCTCTTCCGCCCTCTTCGACGCGCGCACCTCGTCCAAAAAGTCAATCTCGTCATCGTCCAGCGCCCGAAATTGGTTCCGTATCTTTGTCTTTTCCTCAAAAGCAGCTTGTTTGGCGGCTACAATGTTTCCCCTGTCAATATAAACCCCATCCAACCCCTTTCAGAAAATAAAAAAAGAACGCAAGTAAAAGGGAAAAAAGAGAGGGAGAAAAGAAACTCGTACCTTTATTTGCTTGTAATATATCATACAAACTCTTTTGCTCCCCGGCCTCTTCCTGCCTCCTCACCTCTTCCCTCCGCTTCCTCTGTTCCTCAACTTCCTTCTGCACCGCTTCCCACTCGGCGGTGTTTTTCCCAACGGGCCGCTCGTTGTCTGCCGGAGCGGCTTCGATGCGCTCGCCGCTTGATGGATCAATGGCTCCGCCAGAGATGAAACGGGACGACATTTTGATCCCCCCTTTGGTTCCAGAATAATAAGGGCTTGTGTGATGTTAATCGCCTGTTTTTCTCTTCTTTTTCTTCTCTTACGTATTACTTTTTCCTTAGAGTGTTGCGCGATCCTGCCGGACGAGTGAAAGCCTCTCTGAACTTTGGGCCGTTATCAATTTCCCCAGCGGAATTCTGAGAAGATGACGGGAGAAGAGTAAAATTAAGGCTGGGGATTCCCCTAGGGGTGAATAACCAACTATATTAAGAAGGCCAAGTTGTAGCAGGGCGGTGCGTCGGCCAAGTTTTGGGATTCACGCTCCTAAGTTGAAGTGGATGTTGTAGGTGAGTGGTACAAGGCTGAGTTTGGTGGCCATAAAATGTGAGGCGTCAACTGGTGCGATGTGGCAAGGCTACTTTAACAGAAGCTCGCCCACAGTCCCAAGATTCAGTTTTTAAGGAGAAACAGATTCACACCTCAACATCCAGCATTTATTTACGCCAATTGTCTCGCATGGGAAAGCTCTTATCCTGCTTTTATCTAATTTTCAAACTTCACAAATACAGACTTCTAAAACCTATGACCATAAACCATCAACAACCAATTTTCCGAAGGAAAAGGGCTGCCTCTAATATTCATAGTGTTCTTCTCAGGATCCCCCAGAGCATCAGTAGTGATGCGAAGGGATCCTCTTGCTATTGTGATATACCTCCTGCCAGCCCATTTGCGGACCTAGTATCAACACCCTTCCAGTCCCAAGACAATGTCCCCCAGATGAACATGGTATAATAAGGCCACCCCCCTCCTTGCTGGAATACAGGATCAAGATGTCCACCAGAGAAACAAGAAATAAAGCGCAAACGACCCGGACCACAAACCGGCCCTTGAAATTCCATGGAGGGGAAAAGAAACTAGGTTGTAGATGAAGTTGTAAAAAGCAGAAAAGAAAATCCCGTTATTAAAACCCCGAACCATCCTAGTCCCAGGAAAAACAATAAAGTCCATTCTACGCGATGAAAAGCCACTCTAAACCACATCTTCATGAGAAAGAATGCCCATATGACGTCGCACAGCATGGTCTGCTTCGACTCCGAAGGGCTTCACCGTAGCAACGACCCATCGATATCATCGAAGACACACCGCGAGCAGGTTGTACGTGCCGGTGGGCCAAATGGAGAAGGTTAACGGGAACAAAAAAAAATCGAAAAAAAAAGAGAAAAAAAAAAAAAAAAAAAAAAAAAAAAGAAAAAAAGTGAACATCAAGCGAACATGAGACTTAAACCAGTCGAGTGAAAAATGAAAACCCTATTTTTCCTACCCAATGCAAAATGCATTGGAGCCGCCCCGTAATCCCCGTTTTCCCAGTAACAAATGATCAATGTAGAAGAAGGATGTAGAACAGCGAGCAAATGAAGCACCCAATGAAAATCCTGGGTTCGAAAACTGATTTCAGCGCCAATTTTTGTACCAGTCAACGTCGTGAAAATAAACTTTTGATGTCCGGGAGCTCCAAATAATAGATACGTGGGTGCAGATTACCAATTCCCCACGAGCTGTGTCGGATTCGTATTGCCGAATGCGACGATGAACGTGCCGGAGCGGTGAATGCGAACGAGTACCGGCGAAGGTGCCAATGAGGCGTCATTATAAACCGTAACCTGTATCGCCGAGGTACAAAGGAAATGGACAGCGAACGAACGTGGCACTTTTGCATCCCAACTCCAAGATCGTCTCTAACAAACGTGCCACATGAATTGTGCGGGGCCAAGTCTATCCTCGCAAATGGTGGGAAATCGCGCTCGTCGGGCTAGAACAAGAACTCTTGCTGGAGGATCGGAACGTAGACCTCGACAGCAATAATGAGAAGATAACTCCAGTCTCGAAGAAAAGAAAATAATAATGGAATAATGTCATAAAAGCCAGGGAAACACCAGGGGAAATATTAAAAAAAAGCCAGAAAATCCGCAGTCTATCGAGGACACCGAGTCCAGTGCAATGATTTCGTGAACCAGGAACCGAGGGAAGCGCCGAATAATGGAATGACAACCGTATACCATAAAGGAAATAATAGGAAACCAGATGAAAATATTGAAATGTCGTGTCATCAATTTTGAGTTTGAAAACATCGGTTCTGTGCGTGACGGCGGGTGGCTCTGATCACCGGGAGATGGCGGATGGTTAGGCCACCGGTGGACAAGACGAAGCTCATCCGGAAGGGGCAACGAAACAAGGGTTGACAACCATCTCGTGAGTATTCCATTGTAATCGAGCCGGAAGCGCCGTCGCCCACAATTGGCCGAAAGTGTGGGTATCTGACTATGCAAAAATGTATATCGTGCCGGGTATGCCAGGTGAAAAACAATGTAGTGAAATGAGACGAGAAAAAAAAAAAATAAAAGGAGCCAATATAATGTAAACATGAAATGGCCAGGCTGAAAGTATTCATGCCCGGCTCGCCAAAAGAAAGTAGTTCATAAACTCGGAAATTTTTTTTCGCGGAAGAAAGGCGTCGATCGTCGAAGTTGTTCAACCCATGACTGGCTGACCGTAACCATGGGGGACGTAGTAAGGCTGCTTCACCATGGGAACGGGGCAATGGGAGCAGTTGCACTCCGCAATTGCCTGGTCCCAATACGGGTAGTGACCGTGTCCATGGTGACGCGGATAGTAGTGGTGGTGACTAGGGGTCTGGTGGTACGCGTTGTACTGCATGGCCGCCTGGGCAAACCAATCCTGATAGTGGCTGTTGGCCGAGGTGGCAGATGAAGCATAATCAGGAGTAGAGTATCCAGAGTCCGGAGGCGTGATAGGAGCTTGAGGCCCAGGCCTGTACTGAGAATGGACCCACATGGACTCCTGGCTGTGATAGACCTGTCTCTGGGCCATGTCCTTGGTGTAGCGAGACATATCAACCGAGCCAAGTACAGCAGGCCGAGTCGAAGCGTAGGGAGGCGATGGGATATCGTTCGGACGAATGAAAGTTGTCTGGATAGGGCTGAGAGTGGCAAGGCGCTGGCTGGTTGCATGGGCAGCCTGGCGCTTCTTCGTGGCGAGCCACGTCTTCCAGTTCTCAAGCCAGGCCTGGTAATCGTTGCTCTTGTCCAGATTGACGTAGAGTTGCCAGTGACAAGCAGCAAGCCACTCGGTCTCCAGAGCGTTCAACTCGGAAACAGCGATGCCACTAACCTCAGACCAAGACCGATTCTGGAACGTGTTATCGTCGAGGAATTTGCTGCCCAGCAGCAACGAAACCGTGAGCAGTCGCCAAACCTGGCCCTCGCTAGCCTTGAACGGGCCGTGAGCCTTGCAGGTATTGATGCGCTTTGCAAGGTAATTCAACCCGAGCAGGATCGTCGTGCTGGGGAGACGCGTCGAGGTGAGGATTTGCGTGACGAACTTCCTGAAGGCCGACGAAACTGCAGTATCGGGAGACACCACTCGCATGGACATCTCCGCCACGTATTCCGCCATGGCGTCGACCTCGTAGTCGAGGACAGCACACACACCGCCGGGCATGATGACGGCAGCTTGTGGTGGTATTGACGAGTGATTTGGAAGTAGACAACTTGAGACAGACGTCGCTTAGGCACCTGGAAGGGGCACTTTGCTAAGTGGACGGGCCACAAAAGACTTCAGTGGTTTCCAAGGCCACGGCCGACAATCGCGGTGGGAGGGTGAGAGAATTTAGTAGCCGACAGTCGCCATCAACAATTTGGTCGTTGTCGTTTGGCTGTGGGAGATGTCAACGTTTGAAGACGAACGGAATCCAACACCGAGACCGCCTTAGAAAAATTGGAATTATGACGTGCAGGAAATAGCTGACAGTCGAAAGGAGTGAGATCGAACTGCGGAAATGAACTAAAGCAAACGGATATATATGCAAAGCACAGCCAAAAGTCGGGGTGTGAGAGAGTTCAAGGGAACGCGTAGGTCGATGAATAGACTCGAGACGGGTTGTTGTCAGTCGACTATCCTCGGAGAGTGACCAGGATCGTTCTGAAGTCGAAGGCTTGCTCGACGGTCGCTAGAACGAAACGGCCGGCAGCTCGTAGGGCCAAACGTAGAGGTGATGGTGAAGCTGGAGAAGAGGTCCGGAACTAGAAAAAAAAAAGGAGAGAAAGAGAACCAAGACTTTATTTGGTGGAGGGGATCAGCGAGACAGATCCAGTTCTTCCGTTATTGGCCGCTCCACGCAAGAATTTTTTGGTGCTAAAAAAAAGTTCGGCTTCAATATCCAGCAACCTGCTGAATGAAGAAGGCACCTTTGATTGACCCAAGACTCGGATTCTTCTTTCGGATGAGGGAGAAAACCTAAATCCAGGTGCCAAAGACGTCAAGACGGTCAAAAGAGTCGTCGACAATCGATGACGGATTTTGTCGTGAAGAGGCGGATTCGGTTGGGGAGTTCGGAGAGAGGGCGGAGGGCGAAGAGCGAAGGGGGAGGAGGCTTTCGAGGATTTGAGGAAGGGAAGGAGTTGAAAAGGAAATTGAAGCAGGGAAGGAGACGGTGGTGGGTGGAGCCGATGCCCTGACCACCATGCAGCAATGGTTACAGTGACCAAGACTGGACTGGTACGAGGATAGGTCACCTACGAAGTACAAAGGTATGTCGTATATTGATGTATTTCTCGTCGCTGAAATGGGTGCACGATATATTGGAGTAGGGGCAGGGTACTTCGTACTTGGCCACTCCTCCGCATGTACTGGACCAGATTCGCCAAGTACTTTTCTGCATGTTGATTTGATCAAAGGTTGTCTAGTTCCTCAAAACAACTTAGTCACCCCCAACCACAATGGCAAAAAGTGGGTGGGTCATTGTCTGTCCAAATCGCCCACCATCAAACTCTTTGAAATGAGGAGGTAACAGTACGAAGTACTCGACTTCTGCACCTTTTTGTCACCTCTCGCCACTCTTAGCACCGAGGTTGGCGCATCCTCTCAGGCTCAGGAATGCAGAACGGGCTTGGGGTGCCTTCTAAACCACACCACTCCAAGAAACGACTCGGAATGAGTTCTCGC